TCATGTGAAACAAACCAGCGGAACCACTGTGTGAGTGACATCATTTCAACAGCTTCATGACGGAGACAGCTGTTATCACTTGCCAGGTCTTACGTGGCTGAGTTGACTTTTTTTAAAAATGTCGAATCTAGTTTGTGATAAACGAGTTTTCATGGTGGTTGAATTTAATTCCACTCCCAGAAACAAATGTCTGGGCCGGAAAAATCGAGCTTCTTCCCAATTTATGGCGAAGCCCAGATTTAACAGGTGTGATGTCAACACCTGATCCTGCATCAGCGCCTCCTGTCTGAATTGACAGGAGCAGCAGATCATCCAGGTAAAACAAAAACTCTCGTCTCTGTGTTAGGATGACCGGTATGCGTTCTCTGGATGTTAAACAACAGATCCAAGAACGGTCTCACCCCTCCGATCCGTGAGTAAAAACCTTGTGTTTTCTCTCCCTTGGGGAACTCTGTAGATTACTTTTATCAGAAAACACTTGGATTTCTGCATTTAGGGATGAGAATCAGTCTGATGATGACGGGGCCGTTTTTTATAACTCCTCTGAATGGAGGGGTTCGGGTTGCAAACTGTAACTTGTACCATTTGCATAAAACCTTGTCCATCCATCTGAAAAACGGCGAGCATGTTTTAGCCACTCTACGTAACGTTCGTAGGGTGAACGTGCGTTAAGTGATGTGTCATGTTTTGTACGGCTGTCAGCAGTCCGCCCCTCAACCGCCGTCATGCGTCGCGGGAATGTTTTCTGTGTGATCCCGGGCGAGACTTGTGCTGAGGCGAAGCGTGTGACAGCTGATGACGCGGTGGGCTGCGCGTTTGACGTCGCTGTGCGAACGTTGAAAAGGCGGAGGGCGTGACTTCGTTTACGCCGTGCTGTTGGAGTGAAGGCTGCTAGCCCTGTGGGAGCACCCGTTGTCTCTGGAGGGACGCGCGCCGCTCTCGCTGGAGGGGCGCGCGCTGGAGGGAGGCGGGACTCATTACCGGGTTCTTCAGCTGCTTCACGTTTAGCTGCGGTGAGCTGCCGAAAGCTGAGACGCGGTGGTGACGGCTGCCCGCGTTGATTCGTCGGGACGGGTGTCGTTTCTTGTGAGAGAGAAGGGCCCCCACCCGAACCAGCCTGCGGACCACATTTATACCGATGTGAGCTGGTTAGCGCCGGCAGCTGTGTGTGTGCGCCAGCATCAACGTAGCGCCGTTGGATGGAGGCTGTCCATCTTAGTGATCGACTCGTCATGTCAGAGCGGCGGTGAGTTAAAATCCTGTTTAAGGACACCGGCTCATGTGGAGGCTGTTCCATCCCACGAGTGCGAGTTGACACCGCTTGAGTGAGGATCGTGCAGTTCTAGTTGGTAATGAGTTATTTTCGCTTACCGTTGTGCCGTGATCGACTCGTCATGTCTAGAGCGACGGTGAGTTTAAAAACCTTTATTTAAGGACACCGGCTCATGTGTGGAGGCTGTTCTGTGATCGACTCGTCATGTCTTAGAGCGACGGTGAGTTTAAAAACCTTTATTTAAGGACACCGGCTCGTGTGTGGGGCTGTTTCATCCCACGGGTACGAGTTGACATCGCTTGGGTGAAAAACGTGCAGCCCGGGATTATAACGAGTTATTTTCACTTACCATCGTGCCCTGTAAGCGATTAATAATGTCTTGGAGCGGCGGTGAGTTTAAAAAGCCTTATAAAGGACACCGGCTCTTATGTGTGCGGCCGCTGTGAGCTCATCCGGGCTTACAGACTGGCTAAAAAACAGACACTTGATCATTAATGATGATTTATTTCAACTTTCGTGTCACTTTTACACACACCCTCCGGAGACCGTCATTTTGAGAGCTTTCTCTCTCATGAGCTCTGCGATTGTTTGCCCAGAGCGCTGTCTTGCAGGCGAACTCTGGGGAAACGCTGAGCTGCAGGCTGCCGGAGTGAAGAGGGCTGGATTCTGACGGGCGGGGCTGGTGGTGGAACTCAGCGAGAGCCGCGGCCGTGGAAAAGTCGAAGCTTGCTCGCGACGGTCCCTCCAGCGGGACGGGGTGGGCCGCGCGGCTTGATGAGGTGGCGCACAGCCTCTGGCACCTCCTCCGACTGTTTCACTTCGCCAGCATGGTTTGAAGCTGCTCTGAACAGCGCGTCCGCGATGGGTTTCATCAGGTCTTGTGCAGATTCTCCGGCAGCGAGGGGAGTAACGAAGCCAGGTGGGTCGTTGGGTCGTCGTCCTCCGCGCTGCAGTCCTCGACAGGCAAACCGTGGGAGAGGCACACATGTTGAGCTGGCGTCAGCTGCCTGACAGAGGGAGTTCTTGTCTCCAAGGCAGGTCTGCGGCCTTCAATCCCTTGGACATGCTATATGCTAGCAGCGCACGTTGTTGCTAACTGCGGCTGCCTGAAAAACACATTGGTGGGCTCGATTTGAGAGCGTGTTCGCCGTCTGGTTCGTGTTCCTCCGGAGGGACGGGACGCTGCTCCGACCTGGGCAGCTTCGCTCCGGAAGCTTCCGCGAGGCTTGGCTCCAGGAGGGGTTACCGAGGAATAGCCCTGCTCGGTGAATCCCTCAACTCTGGTGATGGGAGCGGACTGGGGACCGACTCCTCTAATCTACCAGGAAAGAACCGTCTGCGGCCTCGCCCGTGGAACGTCCTGTTGGAACGTGAGGCCGTATGGATCAAGACGGTGAGCCACAGTGGAGCCCAGTGAAAAACAACCTTCCCGCCGATCATCCGAACTGGCGGGAAAAGGCGAGGGACGTAGAAAAAAGGGGTCCCTTCATGTCAGCCTCCTCCCGGGTTCCGCCGGGCAACCCCTGAGGGCGCTGTCGGCCGGGAGCGGTGTGATCGCCGATGCGAAACGAGGTGGGATGGGGTGAGCATTCACTCAGCCCCCCTCCACCTACACTACGCTCCCCAGGAGGGAATGGGCAGCGGGGGCTGCAGCTGAGCACGCCTTGCCCCGGAGGAACCATCCGGTTCGCCCCGAGGGTCGGCGATAAGAGGAAAAAACACAAGATGGCGTTGTCCAGCGTGTAGTGACCTGTCACTGGGAAATGTTCCACGAAGCTTACCTTGGAATAAGACTGCTGTCATCTTCTCCTCGGGGAGGAGAACTCACCGGACGACCGGAGGTCGACTGCCGGGCCCAGCATCCTTCACAAGGTTGGTCATTTACACAATTTATCTTCTTTGTTCTTCTGACAGTGCTATATTAGCTCGCTGAAGAAAAAATGGGAGCCGATTTCCCGCTCTTAACGTAATTTATACGGACCGGGTGGGGCCCACACAGCAGGTGGGCGTGGACTAATTTTTTCAGTGCTTATGCTCTGCATAACGGGATAAACCCACTAAAGCGAAGGCCTTAAAGGGCGAAGCTTATACGACATAGAACTGATCTGTTATGTGGAGGACTGTGTACAGCATTTGGTCATCTGGCTGCACGAGTGTATCCTGCTGGGTCCAAATCTCAAAGTCGCAGGACTGGACTCCACACGCTGTGAAGCTGAACTTGATAATGGTATTCATGGTTCTCCTTGAGATGTAATGAGCAGCACCTGTTCACCTTAAAAAAAACACAGAAGAAGTTGTTCTACTTCCGGTTTGTGGACAACAACGACAATAACTATCAAAAAGGATGCATACAAGTTTATTTTTTTTACAAATGAAAATAAAATGATAATTAAAAGGATTAATTAAAGGAAAAGTATGAAAAACGGCTAGATTATGAGGCGGTGTAGAATGCTAAAAACAGGAACATGTTTGACGTCTTCTCAAGAAAGACTATTTTTTTATATAAAGAAAGTATTTCTTTGATACTGAAGTCAAGAAATACTACTTTTTTTTAATAATATAAAAGTATTTATGTTTAATAAAGTCAAGAAAGACCATTTTTTTTGTTTTTAATGTATTTTTTTCATCCTGAAATGTTTTTTAAGATCAACTTTATATGTCAGGAGATACATTGTTGATGTTCCCATTAAAATGCACTTTCAATAAATAAGTATTGGCAAAGCTCAATGTAATTTTTATGTTGAGGTGGAGGAGGAGGGTTGTTGTCAGCAGCTGCTGAAAGTAACTAATAAAGTAACTTGTAATCCAACTTAGTTACTTTCCAAATCAAGTAATCAGTAAATTAAGTTGCTTTTTTAATGCAAGTATGCCATCACTGCTCATCTGTGACGTGACACCCACCCCCCATCAATGCTGAGGTCAATTTTGCAACACCAGCCTGGCCCGAATGAAACCCCTGGTGTCTGGGCTCCAAAAATCGAGCTGGAACAGGGCAGACTACTCGATGCAAACAATCAAAACCCAGGTTGGGCAGGGCTGGGTCTTACAATGCATAAGGGACAATAAATGGTAGAAAGTGGTGTACAATATTACAAAGTGCTTTTTGTTGTTCTAAAATTTGAGGCTTGTTTTTCTCCTTTCTAAAGATCCATCCAGAGATTCCAAAAAGACCAGTGGCACCCACATCTTCCTATATAATGGAAAACTATCGCAAAAACAAGAAGTATCAAGAAATGGATCAGAAAGATATTTTCAAGTTATTACAGAAGTTTAACCAGCTTCCACATAAAAAGAGGGTACTGTGTAAAAGCCACTGTAAAACACAATGAGTTGCTCATGAAGTCTTTGTAATTAAGAGTTTATTTTTGTTGCATTTTTTTCCAGATGGTGTATAAAGAGAAGTACGCCTGTGAAATTAAAGGGTACAAGCAAAAGTTGCAAGCCTTTAGGTAACAAATTACCTCACATACCAGTTTGATCACGTGATATTAAAAATAATTAAGCAAACTTTTTTTCCCCCTCTCAGCAAAAACCAAATGCGTGCTATTCAGGTAAAGATGACTGCTCCATGTGCAAAATATGTTGAATGAAAACTGTTTTCAGTCCGTGGCAATGATGTCTGTGTGACCTTTGCAGAAGCAATACGACGAGAGTGAAGATGATCTGCCCACCAAGCCCCCTTAGTAAGCCACCAACACCAATCAGTCAATTCTTTGTCTGTTTACACCTTTTTTAAGAATTTATTTTCATTGCTTTTGTTTAAAATAATGTGCTTTGCTGGTGGTTCTGAATAACTGTTTCTTACAAGCTGGTGAAGATTCTCAGTCATCCAGGACATTGTAAATCCTACCAAGATTAAAAGCAAAAGCAACTGGACTTTATTTGTAACTGAAGACGTTTTGCTGGAAGTATGTTCCACCCTAAAAACAAAGCACCCATACACAAACAGAGTGGTGTGGTGTATGCAGTCCAGTGCAGCGAGGAACGTCCAGATCTCTATATTAGAGAAAACAAACGGCCTCTTCAGACACATGGCTCAACACAGGAGAGCCAGCTCCTCAGGACAAGACTCTGCAGCTCACCTGCACCTCAAGGATAAGAGACACTTAATAAAGGACCAAAATGTTCACATTTTGGACTGAGAAGACCGATGATTTGAGAAGGGGGGTGACGGAAGATATTTATGTAAAATTAGAGAAACCTTTAAACGGGAAGAAGTCTCAGATTTCAAGTCAAACTAACAAAGACCCTAACGAACCCCAATTGTGAGGATTGATAGGGCAATCTGCATATGTACAGTTGAAACCAGAAGTTTACATACACAGTTTAAAAAGACAAATTTTTTTTTTTCCACACGTTCTGATGTGAAATCTGAATAAACTTTTCCCATTTTAGGTCCATTAGGATTACCAACAGTTTTTCTCTTTGCAAAATGCCAGAATAATGAGAGTGAGAATTTTTAAGACAATTTTTATTACTTTATTCAAAGTCAAAAGTTTAAATACATGTGTTACATCTAAATGCAGGGTTCCATTGCCCTCAAACTGTATGATTTGGGTCAAACGTTTTGGATGTCCTTCCACAAGCTTCTCACAATAGTTGGGAAGAATTTGGCCCATTCCTCATGACAGAACTGGTGTAACTGAGCTGTGTTCGGAGGCTGCCTTGCTTGTTTATGCCTTTTCAGCTTTGCCCATAAATTTTCGATAGAATTGAGATCAGGGCTTTGTGGTGGCCACTCCAAAACAATGAATTTGTTCTCCTTGAGCCACTTTGTAACCAGTTTGGCTGTATGCGTCGGGTCATTGTCCATTTGGAAGACCCATTTGCACCCAAGCTTTAACATTCTGGCTGATGTCTTGCTTCAGTATTTCCACATAATGTTCTTTCCTCGTGATGCCATCCATTTTGTGAAGTGCGCCAGTCCCTCCGGCAGCAAAACAACCCCACAGCATAATGCTGCCACCACCGTGTTTCACAATCGGGATGGTGTTCTCAGGCTTGCAAGCTTCCTCCTCCAAATGTAACGATGGTCATTATGGCCAAACAGTTCAATATGAGTTTCGTCAGACCACAGGACATGTCTCCAAAAACTACGATATTTGTCCCTGTGTGCATTTGCAAAAAAACACAGAGCCAGCTCCTCAGGGCAAGACTCTGCAGTTCACCTGCACCTCAAGGATAATTAATCAGATATTTGTATGTTTATTTTGAAGTAATGACTTCTTCCTGGAGGCAGCACGGTGGCGCAACTGCTAGAGCTGCTGCCTCTCAGCGAGCAGGTCCCTGGTTCAAATCCCGGTATGGGGGCCTTTCTGGGTGGAGTTTGCATGTTCTCTCCGTGCATGCGTGGGTTTTCTCCGGGTGCTCCGGTTTCCTCCCACAGACCAAAAACATGCACGTTAGGCTGATTGGTAACTCTAAATTGTCCCTAGGTGTGAGTGAGAGAGTGAATGGGTGTTTGTCTCATTTGTCTCTATGTGGCCCTGTGATGGACTTGCGACCTGTCCAGGGTGTACCCCGCCCCTTGCACAGTGATTGCTGGACATGGGCACCGGCGACCCCCATGACCTAAAATGGAAGAAGCAGGTAAAAGATAATGGATGGATGGCTGGACTTCTTCCTGGCAGAGTGGCCTTTCAGCCCATGTTGATACAGTACGGTACTCATTTCACTGTGGATAATGGCACACAGCAGCATCTTCACCTGGTCTTTTGGTTTTGTTCTTGAGTTGATCTGCACATTTCGGACCAAAGCACGTTCATCTCTGGGACACAGAACCTATCTCCTTCCTGAGCGGTGTGATGGCTGGACATTCCCATCTTGTTTGTACTTGCGTATAATTGTTTGTACAGATGAACGAGGCAGATTCAGGCATCTGGAAATTGCACCCATGGATGAACCAGACTTGTGCAAGTCCACAACTCTCTTCCTGATATGTTGGCTGATTTCTTTAGACTTTCCCATGATGTTACACAAAGAAGCAGTGTGTTTCAGGTGTTTCTTAAATTGCATCCACAGGTGTACCTCTAATTAACTCGGATGTTGTCAATAAACCTATCAGAAGCTTGCAAAGACATGACATCAAATGTCCCAAATTGTTTAAAGGCATAGTAATCTTAGTGTATTTAAACTTTTAACTTTGAAGAAAGTAATAAAAATTGCCTTACAAACTTCTCACTCATTATTCTGATAGAATATAGAACAAATAGAACAAAATTTGGTAATCCTAATTGACCTAAAACGGGGAAGGTTTATTCTGATTTCACATCAAACAGTGTGAACAAAATGTGTGTCTTTTTAAATGGTGTATGTAAACTTCTGGTTTCAACTGTATCTAGCTTAGCAACTTTATAACTTGAACCCCACACACTGTTTGAAGGATGAGAAGTGAAACGTCTTCAGTTGCATATAAAGTCCAGTTGTTTCTGCTTTTAATCTTATTTGAACTGTTCTTACAACTTAACGAGTGTGATGAAATCTGTTTTCTTTTGGTTTGATTCACATTTCCTCTGGAAGTTTATTTTGTTTTAATTGGCAGAAATGTTTAGACTTAAGTTAGATTAGAAATGGGGCTTATCGCAGTTGGTGCTTTTTGGACACAATATCTGTTCAGAATCAACTTCATTGCACAGTTAAGCACAACGAAATATATTTCAGTGCAGCTGTCCAAAGAAAACGAAGGTAGACGGGGGTGAACAGAGGCTGCAGCTTCGCCGTGAAGCACTGCCCTTATCGTTTATATAAGAACAGTGAAGAAAAACATGAGGAAAGAAGAAGGTATCAAAAAAGATCTCTCACACCGTGTCCTTGACAAAGGCGGTGAGATTGTCCATGAACACTGCCGGAAAGTTCCATAGTCCTGATGAAGATGGGACAGTGTCTTATCAGCTAGAGCTGTCATTTCTAACCTGGGCTGGAAACCTGACCCTAATTTGGGGCGGGCTGGGTCGGTATCAGGCTTTTGAGTGGATCAGCGGATCAGCTGCGATCCAATTATATGGTAACACAGCTTGCCATACATCCACTAGCCGCATGCGGCCATTTCATCGCGAGCTGATTTGAAAGAGGTAAAAAGGTCAGTCAAGCTTCAGGTGGGACTATCTTGCCAGGAAGGCTGACGAGCCAAACAGGCGAGATCCCAAAGCAGACATGTCGGAGTAATGCAGAAGAATGCAGGCAGAAACAGGGTTTTAATGCTCTTTGATGGCCATGAAAGGACAAACACCCCCTCAGCTCCCATCTCCTGCCCCTTTTATTCAGCCGCCCCCGACCATTAATAACTAATTAAAAATGTTGGAGTTTTTTTGGGTTTGGACTTGTTTAATTCATTCAACCTTTATTTAGACAGGTTAATCCTATTGAGCCTCGGGGACTCATTTACAAGGGAGACCTGATTTCTTAACAAAGAGTGATGACAGCTGTGGATAACTACGACAAGAATAGACGGTCATAAAATAGGCACTCAAATAAGTTTTTCTCTTTTTTTTTTTTTTTTTTTTTACAAATCTAATCAAAATAGCAACCAAAAGGACAATCAAGAGGAATAGTAGCAAAAAACAGCTAGATTATAAGGCAGTTTAGAAAACTAAAAACAGGAACATGTCTGCATTGGCTTTTGCCAGGTATTTAACTGGGTTTTAAAGTCACTTAGAGAGGTCAAGGTCAAGAGCTTGCAATGACTGTTAATTTGTCGGGTCGGGTTCGTAAATTATGGCTGCAGGCTGGGGCAGGGTCGGATTTTTTTGGGCCCGAATGCAACTCTACTATCAGCCGGCTCAGCTCTGATATGGGTCCACAGATGTTCTCGGGGGAGCAGAGCTTCATGATTTACATATCATCTAGGAGCAATTTGTGGACATGCAGATGGTAGAGAAACTTTTCTAGAAGTCGCTGCAGTCTTTTCTAGTCGTCTTCGTCCACGTTGGGTTGTCTTGTGGAAAGTAAAATTGTTTTGCCCTGGATTATCATCTGAAATTAATGCTTGGTCAATTCAACATGTTTTAATATTTTTCTGGTTCATTTGCAGAATAACACTTAAGATCTGTAGTTTACTGGCAGTTCATATCAGTCTTTGTGTGCATTTTTAGCAATGGCTACGGCGTGTTCTGTCTGGACTGTAAATCTTCTGGGGAGACATTAAAATGTGGAGCAATGGGTCTGTCTCTTCAGTGGAGAAGCTTGAGTAAATCAGAACGGGCTGAATATAACAAGCGCTGGATAGAAGTATGAACACAAACTAATCACCACATACAATCTGTTTGTAGCCGTCTGTCAGAGTTCTCTTTAGCCTGGTCAAACTGATGTAAGTTCACATTTTTCTTCCAGCTTAAGGAACAGTACTCCGAGAAGCTGCACAAGTATCTGGATGTAAGTAAGATGGAGAACGAGCATTGAGCGGGTGCTTGCAGTGGGACTTTGTGTTAACATTATGGTTCTTTCCTCAGAGGTTTAATGCTAAGGAGCAGCTGCAGATCATTAAGGACAACAACATCAAAATGCACAATGTTAAGTTAAAAGTAAGATGTGGATTTAGTTTTTTCTCTTATGCTATTTAAAGTTTTACTTTCAAATATGTAGATGTCAGCACTTATCTACTCACAATCAAGTTTCAATTTAAGGTTGCTAAAGAACCAACTGAGAAGTGAGACGGGCGTGTTGATGAAATGATCTTTTTTCTTTTAATTGTTAATGTTTTATCAGATTTTCATAATCTAACAACTTCCAACTCTTACTGTATGGCCATGTTGAGTTGAATGAGACAGGGAAATGGTCTTAATTCACTTGTACTGCTGTGTAAAATAAAACCTTGCAGTGATTAGTAAACACTTTAAACTCGTAGTTTAACTGAAAATGACAAGAAAAGTAAGCATTTCTACACTAAATATCTCATTCCAAAACCATTTTGCTGTAAAGTTTTATGCCAATTTGCTTAACAGGGTAGTTCTGATCTTGTAAAACAGAGTTCTGTGGAAAGTTTTTGTGGATAGGTGTTTGAACATCCTCAGTTTGGACAGAGAGCTCAAGTCTTGGGGTGCAGCAGGGCTCACATGTAACTAGATGGGAAGGGGTCCTGGGTTCATGAGACGAGCCGATACTTTGTTTTTTAAGAAAAAACTTTTACCACAAGTTTTTTTTTTTTGTTTGTTTTTTTTTTTGTCAAATTTTTCGTGAGTCTTAACTTCTGAAATGATTCTTTAGCTATAAATGAGCTGTAAACTCTTTATTATAGCTTATTATAGCTGAGTATGCATCAGGATACTTTATTATAGCTGTTTTCTTGGCCCCTTTCATTTTCACAAGGAGCCAAAATGAAAAGCACACGCAGTACAGCAGTGTAAGAAAATGGCAACGTTTCAGTTTTCTCATTTCAAAAAATTAAAAAAGAAAGTAATTTTTCTTCATTAACCTTAATTAGACAGAGCAATGTTCTCTAGAATATAAAAAAAAAACATAGTTTATATATTTCACTAGTTTTTATGTTGTTGATTTTTACTGAAAACATTTAAGCGCAAGTTGTTAAGAAAAGCATTAGACTGATTTACTCTGTGGCTGTTTCAGAATCTACAGTAGGTGACTTATTTGTTAATAAACTTTGATAAAACCATGCTTTAAAAGATCTAAACTATCTTTAAGGTTAAGTAGCTACTTAGATGAACTCTCCTTTTTTTAACCTTGTTTTTGTCACTATACTGTTCAGAATAAAGCACCTGTACAAGAGAAACGACCCAGTGAGCCCAAGATGCCGTCTCAGTGAGTCAACATCCTGGATGTCTCTTAAGCCCCTTTTCCATAGTGACGGCTTGGATCAGTTCAACTCGGCTAAGCTCGGTATATGTTGCTTTTCCATATGCGTTTCAGTTCCGGTTCTGTAGGCGGGTCCAGAATCCAACTCGCCTTACCAGCTGGTGGCGGTAGTGCTCAATTAAGCTATTTACTAGAAGAAGACCCTGAAAAGATACGCAGCAAAAATGGAGGATCTCATAGCTTTGTTGAACATTCTGCTCGGTCTGTGGCTTTTTGTCAAACGTCAAAGTGAAGAGACCCAGAAAAGTCTGCGGGCAGCGAGGCAAAAGGCTCTGGAGAAGAACAGGAGAGTGTGGGAAGCCATAAACATGCAAATTATACGGCGTGTGAGGGTAAGCTAATGCTAATCTGCTATATCTAGCCGAGCGTAAAAGTATGTAAATGTTGATTAAATATGGTTTAATAATACATGCTGTGTGTTTCAGATGATTCTCCAGCAAAATAAAGTCAGCAGACCTACAGTCTGTTTACGTCCAGCTCTGCAGCGACATCATTACAATGTGTGAAGAAGAGCGTGGCTATTGCCTTCCCTGCCCTCCATGTATCATTTCAGGATAGATGTCGACACTAAACATGTATTAAAAATATCTTGACTGTTTTTATGACAATTTGCTTTTGTTTACCAAACACTGTAAATGGATGGATGAAATAATAATAATAAATGGCCTGAAGAGTTAAAATAAGTCATTTAAATTTTAATGTTTTCAAGCTGAGTTAGCTCTCAAAGACTGACTAATTGTTTTATTTTGTAAATAAAATACAATATTTTATGCAGTTACATAAGGTGGTTGATCCCCCCCCCCCCATGAATGGTCATAAAGTTAGCAGACCTGGAAGCTTCAGAATTTGTCCAGTTAAAATATAATTCTTGTCAGATTATTACTATCACATATGGATTGAATAAAATCCGGATTTAGCTCATAATCATGAGAGAGAATCTAAAACAAATTTTTTTTTTTTTTAATGATTTATTTGTGTGTTACTGCTGCAAATAAGTATTTGAACACCTGTGGAAATCATTGTTAATATTTGGTACAGTAGCTTTTGTTTGCAACTACAGAGATCAAACATTTCCTTTCACCACGTGTGCACACACTGCAGCAGAGATTTTGGCCCATTCCTCCACACAGACCTTCTCTAGATCAGCCAGGTTTCTGGGCTGTTGCTGAGAAACACTGTTTTTTTTTTTTTTTTTTAGATTGCGTCTCACAGTGGACATGCACCTAACATGAACATTTCAGACCCCTCCATGATTTCTAAGTGGGAGAACTTGCAAAGTTGCAGGGTGTTCAAATACTTATTTTCCTTACTGTGTATATATATATATATATATATATATATATATCCTGTTGATGAACTTTAGTTAACTATTAAATCTCTGATGAACCAGATTCTACAAAATATATTTAAAATTATATTATTTTTCTTCATTTGATGTTTTTGCACTCATCGTGTCTACTTTTATTGTTCAGTTTAGATATGTGGTTTTGTTTCTTGTATACAGATTATTTTATTGTAGCTTTGCTTTAAAGTTTAATTCTTAGTGTGTGATTTGTACAACTGTGGGTTAGAATAAAGTTGAACTAAAGGCCGTATCTCTTCTTTAAACATATTTGAGGGAAATATTCCTGAGAGATCCAATAATTTTGTGTCTTTTAAGATTTTTTAGCTAAGTTAAGTTTAATTAACAGATTACTTAATAAAGTCATTAAAGTGAAAACAGGATTTCATGATAAAGCTGGCACCGTTTATTTATTTTAATCTTCACTGATAAAAAAAACATTTTTTTAATGCATAAAATGTTTTTTAAAATCGTTCACACCCTCCGCCCCAGACCCGTCCCAGTCCTCTTGTCTGCCGCCGCTCGGAGTTTGACCTTTACGAACACGTGAGGCCGGACTCCGGCCTTCAACGTGTCGGCAGCTCGTATGATCGTCCGCGGTGACTAGCTCGCTCTGAATTTTGTCGTCTGTCACTAAACACAAAAGACGCTTGTACTTCAGCATTAGACCACAGTGTTGTCATTATTGTTTTTAAAATCCTGAAAATAGGTCCAGCTGCTGCACCGAGCTCGAGTAATTGCAAATGGCGGATCGATGTTTTGAAAAGTTTCTCAAAAGATCCAGTGACTCCGCCCCCTGACCAATCAGTGACCGACAGTGTTCTGACATCACATTTTGATGCCAGCTCTGGTCACTTTCTACCCCAGAGAAGAAGGGACTAAAAAAGGGGGCGGTTCCACGAAAATCTGCTAGTGGAAAAGCTTTGGAACCGTACCGAGCCTAGTCGAACCGTGCTGAGGAGGGGCTATGGAAAAGGGGCATTAAAAGATTCAGATTATATTCTAATAAATCAAGTCCTCCATGGACAGTCTGAAAACATGTTTTCTCTTCTTTTTCCTCTTTATCAGAGTTCCATATTCATATTTTTTTGGTGAGCAGGTGAGACTTCTTAAGGACGAAATCCCAAACCTAAAGGCACGTCACGCAGCGATCCATAAACTTTGGAAGAATCTTCCTACGAAGAAACAAGAAAGTTACAAAAGCAAAGTGAATGTGAAGTTAATCAAATACGCTGCAGAGCTGAAAAACTGGTCCGAGGTATAATTTTTATTTAAGGTGACTTCAGTGTTTGATATGTTGGCTGGGAATAATGTCCTTTTGTATTTTGTGTAGACACTGCAGCCGGTAGAGAAGCTGAAGTATTTAAAAGAAAACCCTTCTGTAAGTGCTTCAAAACTTTAAACTATTCAATAACATATGTTTTTTCTTTTTTTTAAATCTTTTTTATTATATTTTTATTAATTATTATTTTTATTTATTTATTTTTGTCCGTCCATAGGAGATTTTCGACCTGAATTATTGAGCATGCATCGGGATAAACTATTTTGTTGTCCCCCTTTATTTTTTGTTTTGTTTACTTCGGTGTTCCTCTTATTGCAGAAAGCTCGGTACATTGATGGCATTACAGTGTGTGACGGCAAAGAACAGCGGTGGCACCCAACCTCGGTAAGTTGGATTCTGCATAAAACACAAAACGATTCGGACATTTTCACACAAGCAGAAAAGAACAGTAACAAACAAATGTTCTCACATTCCTTGTTCTGCCCACTTCCTGTTGATTAGCTCTGGCAGCCATCTTAAATTGGATTGCCTACAAAAGCTAATCAGTTGTCGATGTAAATCCAATGATTGCTCGCTGATGAAAGCTTTAATGAAATCCATCCAGTGGTTTGAGATATTTTGCTAACAGACAAAATGTCGTCTGTCTTTGCCTTTTTAGCAGTAGGTAATTAAAATTGAGAAATAATGAGATTAGATTGAAGAAAGTGAAGTACTTCTCATGCTGCTCTTGTAATTTCCTTTATTTGTTTCATCTCAGGACTCCGAAGATGAAGACATGAGCGTCAGTGATGAAGAGGACATTTCACATAACAGCATGAAGGAGGAGGAAGAAGAAGAAGAAGAGGAAGACATCATCACATTTGAGATAGATTAGATGAGATGACTGTTATATTTTGTACTTTATCTCAAAGACAAGTATCACTTCGTCACGAGCTAGGCTCTGTTTGTTGCCGTCTCGTAACATACACCGAACATCCGTCACGTCCGTCTACGTCATGGCAAGCCCATGAGGACAATAATCATGACAATTTACAGTACATTATAAATACAACAATGACGTTCATCTGCATTTGCTGGACAAGAACTGAACTCTGAGTTGAAGAGGAAGAAATACTATAAATGGCCGACTATAATTTTAGATGATTTGGTTTTATCTGCAGTCCAGTCTCCATGTTTACCTGTGCAGCGAGACACATGCACAACTGGACTACGTTCGGTAAAGCAACACAAAAACAAAGTAGTAAATTTAGTCTCGTATTGTGGGTTTTTTTCTGCTTTAGAGCGAGTTCTGGGTTAAAGTGACACCTTCCTGGAAACACAGCCACATTCTACAAGGATTGTGATTTAATTCGCTCATAGTCTTCTGAGCAACAGTGCAATTTTTAGTTTTGTGTTATGACAAGAAGTTACCAGTACTCTGCAAAACATTTCTTGTTGTTTAATGTTCAGTTTTTATATCCAGTGGTTTTTCTGCGTTTTGAGATGGGAATGAAAGTTGGCGCCTTTGTGCCTTGACATAAACAAAAAAAATTAATTCAACCTTTATTTATATGCAACTTTCTTTAGGATGAAATAAAGCTCATTTAATGGCTAGCTGAACTGAATGTTTTGTGAAAATGCGCTGACTGCTGAAGAAGCTTAACTGACATCGAGGCTGAAGGCAGTGTGACACTAGAAGAGGCTAAATGCTAGCTAAAAATAGCACGTTTTAAGCTGAAAGTAAGAAAAGGCTAGCTGAATGCTAAATGGAGCAAGATGAAAGTATTAAAATTTAAGCTAAATTGAACATTGTCGAGAGGCAAAAGCTAAGCATATCTAAAGGCTATATATAAGCTAAAATAACAAAAAGCTGAAGTAGCAAAGTACATTTCAAAGAAAAAGTTTTTGAAATTGAAGATATGAAGAAAAAATATTAAGTTAAATGTTTTGAAAAGTATAAGAAAGGAACTAAAGTCAAACTTCATGGCCTGAATGAGTTTGCAGATGTGCACAGTGACCTCTGAAATAATTTAATAAAAACCACAAGGACTGGGAACATGTCAATTGAATTAAAATGAACATTCAAAATGACAATTATATTTTTCTTTCTGTTAAGCTAGTTTACATTTAGAACAATATCTGGTTAAATTTAGTAAGAGGAAAACTTAACTAAAGCTTAGAGGACACTCCGTGTTTGTCCAGATTTACAATTTTTTGTTGCATTTCATGTCTAAAAATCATGGCAGAGATGTACAATAATGTTTTTGCCTGTATGCATATGAACATATGTACACAGGTAAAAACATTGTGTGTTACCAACATATTTCTTGAACCTCTGGACAAACTTGCAGAAAGTAATAATTGTTAATTTGATTACTTGTAAGAGCCGCCCTGTTTCAAGATGGCCGCCACAACAAACTTTCCACCAAATGCATAAAAAGGGCAATCACTCGGTCAGTTTTACAGATATTAAGCTAGAGTTTGGTGTGGTAGTAGCTGAGGGGCATTAACAACACATGCTCTGAGGGTGAAGGTGTGACCAAAACGGGAACAGCTCCATTTCTTAAGCATTCCTTCAAGGAATATTAGGTTTTATATTTTCCCTGTGTCCGCCCAGGCTGGTTTAATGTGTGTTTTTTTGTTTAAATTAATTACAAATTGGAAAACATTAACGAGTTCATGGATTTCTTTTAAAAGTCAATAACCGAGCAAACAAAAGAAGAGCAGCAGCGGAGTGTGAAGAAGTGCCGCGATCGATTACTCCTGTCTGATCTCTGATGTAAAGATGGATGCCTGTCGGAATTGGTAAATAAACTCAATTAGGAGGGTTCGCGTGGCCGCGGCTGCGTTGTTTCTCGCCGTGGGGGGGAGAAGGGGGGGACTTGGTGAAGCCGGGGGCTTCGTGTTGGTCCTGTTGGAGGTTTGCAGGGGCACAGTTGGTGACGGACAGCCGCAGTGCAGCAGCAGCAGAGCCGCCTCGCTCGCCCTCTCTGCCTCCGTAATAATGATGTGCTTCCTCAGCTGCCGAACAACTCCGTGAGCGTTTCACGTTGTGTGTGCCGACCCAAGTCGCTTTGTTACACGCCGAGCTCCTGACTTGGTGGTTTTGTGTGCAGACTTGTGTTACCCTCCTGGCATTGTTAGTGGTCTATTCATAGCGCCGCTCTTTGTTTTCTTCCAAGGTTTTGAGCTAAGCTACTTCCATTGAATGGTAAACGCTCGCGGCAGCTGCGAAGAGTTGAGCTAACGTCCGTCTCTCTGTCTGTTAAGGTGAATGAAGGTGTCCCTGCGTTGTGCCAATGACTTTCTCTGTTTTGTGTTGCTCGCAGGCTTTAAGAGTGGGAAGCAACTCGGCTCCGTGTTCAGCGTGCAGTTGTGAGTCTGCATCACATTCACACACTATTGTTGTCCACACAGGCTGTTTGTCATCCATTGTTTCTACAGGGGGGTTTGTGCTCCTTGTCCTCTGCAGTCCTGTTCTGGCCAATGCTGGCTGCAGCTACAGCATGACCACAGCAGCGTCTGCTCATCTGGTACTTCTGGCAAATGAAAATGGAGGAGGTTTCAATGTCCAGCCTGGACAACAGCAAGCTGGAGGTACTGTGCACTCACTAACTGGATGAGCCGAAGAAATATAAGAACGCTGCAGGATTTCAGGAAACTCACAAATAGGAATATTTTCCGTCCCTCCCTTGCAGGCCCTAGCTCAGGACATCCTGTCAGACCTGGTGGAGGATGCATGCCTAGGGCTTTGCTTTGAGGTGCACCGGGCTGTTAAACAGGGCTACTTTTTCCTGGACGACACGGACCAAGAAAGCATGAGGGACTTTGGTGAGGATGACCTGCCTGGTCTGCTGAAAGGGTCCCACAAAAACTGTGAAAGTCTGAGTCTGTGCATCCAGGCAGACCTGTACAGCTGACACTTTTTTATTTTTGCCACGATCACATAAAAACAAAATGCATTAAACAAAGGATTTTTATGTGGTATGTTTGAAGTACTAAGCTACAATCATCCGATTACATCCATAAGACTTTAATGTTTTCTACAGGTAACTTGTAAATATTCTGTACTGTTGAAACACCCGTTCATGATGCTGTGAAACTGACTGCCTTATTAATAGGCATTTAAAAATGACATTTTGAACACAACATATTGCTTAAAACCTAGTTAAAAGCAGCTTTTATTTGAATTAATTTAATCCCGAATGTTCCATCTCATTAGCCAGATAAATACATTCGCTTTTACCATGCCAAAATAATCAAGTTTTATTTACAGTGACTATTGTGCCCTTCATGTTTGGAAATTATGTCGAGCGTGAGTAGACGTTACAAATACGTTTTAACTCCCTTTTCATTTTGCATGCTGGATCTTGCATAGCACAACCAGAAAGCACAACGTGCAATATAAGTATACCACAGTACGTCAGCTGGACCTTGCTGACGACGTCACATATTTCTCTTAATTTTGAAAAGGATTTTCCGTGACATAATGTACAATTTTTAGGGCAAGTCATGGAAGGAAAAGAAACGGCAAGAAGATAAAACGTTATCTCAGGAAAAATAATCAAGTTTTGCTCATGTGTTCAGACTAAAGGGTCTCATGCTGATCAGTTTTCTCGCTCCTAAAGAAGACGCTAACACTCACTCGTTCATTCAACATAAATCATAGTTCAGGCATGTTGCATATGCTGTTTCATCTTCGCCTGCTCTGGTTCTCTCATGCATTAAAGACGAACGTACACGCAGCAGTTTTACCTAAAGAGTTGACTTTTATCTTTTCAGAAATCGTTGACCAGCCTGGACTGGATGTGTTCGGCCAAGTGTTCAACCAGTGGAAAAACAAGGAGTGCGTTTGTCCCAACTGCAGCCGGAGCATCGCCGCCTCACGCTTCGCCCCCCACCTGGAGAAATGCCTCGGGATGGGACGAAACAGCAGCCGAATAGCAAACCGCAGGTAAGCCCAGAAAACTGGGCTTTTAGCCGCGCACTCTGCTAGGGTCCTGAACAAGAACAAACAGCTGGGTCCTGCTGAAGCGGCACAAACCGTCGTGCAGCTGCAGAATCACAAGTCGTTTCACCTTGGAACACCTTTTGTTTTCTGATCAAACTGTATGTAGCAGTGAGTAATGCTGAGTCACTGTGCCTGTCATGCCTCGCTGCGTTACAGAATAGTCACTGGTAACAACACCAACAACAAGTCGGAGAGCGACCAAGAAGATAACGACGACGTCAATGATAATGACTGGTCTTACGGGGCGGAAAAGAAAGGTGATGCTCCGAGGCTTCTTGAAGATTCCCAGAGAATAGCTTACTAAACAAATGTTTAATCTAAACTTTGTCTTTTTGCTTACAGCAAAGAAAAGAAAGTCAGATAAGGTACATTTCTTGTCCTGGAAATGCTTTATCTGCGTCATTCCTCTTATTTTTCAAAAGATACGTTGGAAAATTGTTGTTCTGTCTTTGCACCTCAGAATCCAAACTCACCAAGAAGATCCAAATCCTTCAAGCATAAAAGCAGTAAGTGCACACCTTTTAAACTTCGACATAAACGTTGACCTCTGGCAAAACGTGGAATTATGCTTCAGCCGGCTTTAGGTGTATCTATTACTATAATATTAAGAAAAACGACAAAAATGGCAGCTGAGCATTCTGTCTTTTGTAAAACCATACTTTTAAAATATGTATACAGTTGCTGGAAATAATAATTTTCTTAGAATAAGTAAATAAAATGTTATCACCATGTAGTTTCTAAACAAAAAAAAAAAAAGAAATTGAGAAACTTTGACGGGGACTGCCACGTTGCACCCATTTTAAAGTTTTTGATTTGACAGTATTATGTGTTGGGGTTTTCTCTCCGCTACCGCCACATCGAATTTCAGCTTAAAATGTGAAAATATAAATGAGCTAAAGTAATTTTTTTTTCTTTTAACCTATGGTGGCCATCTTGGATTTTTTCCCCATATTTATAAACCAATTTTTGGCTGAGATATGACCGTTTTCATTCATTGTGACATTGAAAATATTGAACACTACCATTTTCAGCTGCTAGATAACACCATAGGAGTATGGTATGCCATTGTGACATGTAGTAGGTAAAAGTGGCTATTAATGACACAATCAACTTGCCATATACTGCCACCTTCGTTCTGCTCACTTGGAGCAGTTGTTAAATCGACTTCATTTCACTGCGTCGCCCCGGCGAAATGCAGCTGATTTGACCATTGAAGTGCATTTGTTTAGTAAAAGTTCAACTGAGACACACCTTTACTATAATTTTGAGCAAACAAATAATTGTTTTTAAGTGTTAATTTTGTTAAATTCTTGTTAAAGTCCTCCTGTGCATGCTCCCGCGGCCACTATTTGGCAGCAAATCAATTTTTGTCACAACACTGGTCCACATTTCCGGGTTGTCAGCGGTGACGCGTAACAAACGCGACGGGTCAGTGGTGATGCATAATAGATGCGACTTATACGGCGACGCAACATATTTGTTTTTTTCCACTTTATTAGACATATTTGGACTGATGTGACTTATAGGGCGGAGCGACGTGTACGGTGGAAAATACGGTACTTATTGCACAGTCCTGAAGACCAGACGAAGAAAATCATAACATAAATAAAATATGCTCCATGTTTTTCTCATGTCCGTGTCCTTTTAAACTGAGTTTTTGTAATTAAAGTTTAACGTCTCCCAGCTACCGTGTTTGTTTACCTACTCAAAACAGCTGAAATGACTGAAATAAGGTCAAACGTTAGATCTAGAGACTTGTTTTTCCTGCACTGACTCCAGCCAGCCTAATGCAGGCCAGTCACATGACTCAAGCTTCCACTTGGATTTAGTAGAGTCCTTTGTTTACATTAAGTGTAGACCCACATTTCAAAATCACATTCTACATGAAGTATCTGCAAAACTACTGGAGTAAACTCTTTCACATGGCACTATTTGATATAATTCACAATAATCTTTTACGGTTTTAGTTCATAGTTTCCATCGAGTATTTTTTAAAAACAAATACAGTACACCGGTACACATTAAGAGATGTTTTTAAGGTGATTGTTTGTGCACTTTAAATGATTTTTTTGTTACTCCAACAAAACAGCTGATTTATTGTCAATCAAAATGATTGTACTGTATAAAGTTTTGCTTAACTTCAAGATGAAAGTGCATTTTCTATCACATAAATTTTAAAATATGACCAATTGTACTCAAAAAGTCTCCAACTTAAACTTATGTGCCTAATTTAAAGTCAGAAGAGATCAGGTTCATTACATTTAACTTTTAGATGATCTAGTGATCGTTGCTCGCTGCAGCGCTGAGAGCAGCTCATCTTTGCTCGTCTCCTTCGCAGGTACAGCCAGTAAAGCCAGTCAGGACGGTGAAGCCCACGCACCACCCAAAGACTCGTACACCGCTCCTGCACGGCCAGTGGGTACGGGCTCAACATTTCATATGTGCTCAGCCACTCGGCAGAGCACAACTTCACTTTTTTGTGTTTGTTCTGTTTTCTGTGGGGCGTATAATATAACGCAAAGGTTTTAAATCACCTCTGATTTCTTTACATTTTGCTTTCAAAAAGGCTGATATTTTTATTTTATTTTTTGTAATTGTTCAAAGTGGTCCTGATCAATATTTAGTCTTTCAATTAGGGATGCACGATATTTTCGGCATGGTATCGGTATCGTCCGATATCAGCGATAAAGGTAAATATCAGACATCAGCCATTCAATCAAAATAACTCACCGATATAAAAGGCTTCTGTTTTAAGTTGATTTTAATTTAAGAAACTGAAACTGTAGCATCCCTACTTTCAATGTTTTTCTTTGGGCCTTTTTTTTGTTACTAATTTTCAGCTCAGATTTTGTACCTGTTAATAATTATAGAGGATAGTGGACAAGTGGTAGACTTGTTCAAATAAAGAATCTGAACGTCCTTTAATAGGAACCAAATACAGGAGAAAAAAAAATCACAATTCAGGATATGAGAGATGAATCATCTTTCAGCTGATCATGTTTTCGGCTCATGACTCTTTGAGAATCACCTTGTTGGTGCTAAAATACTATTTCCATCTGTAAAACTCTTATCTTTGATATTTTTTATGGATTCAACCAAAGAAAATTAAAGAAATGGCGTCTTTGTGACGAGCTTCGGGTACTGGAGTGCCTAAATAAGTTTGTAAACACAATACTGAGTCATCCCATGAGTTTAGGAGCTTTTTATGTCCGAATGCTTCAGAGGTAGGTGGCATAAACATTTCACTGCACATGTTGGACTGAAAATTAATAGAAGCCAAAATTCAAAGCCATATTGCTCAAGACCACTTTAAATAACTACAAGAAAGTCTGGTTCTTTAAATCATCCATTTATTTGTTGCTTTTAAAGATTTTTGAGAGGTTTGATTTCTTTGGAAGGGATCACTTTCTTTTGTGTGGCTCTTGGAGTTTCATGCATTAAAAACTGCTCCCCCCCGCACCCATTAATGTAATTAACAATAATTTGTTCCTTTTTTTAAATCTGAACAGTTTTTGCTCCAACCTACCGTATTTTTACCGTACAGTTTTTTTTGCATAATTTCCCTACAACTTATAGGCCAAAGCGACATATTTATGGATTTTTTTTCTATATTTATAAACTATTTTTTGGCTGAGATATGACCATTTTCATTCATTCTGACTGGGGGAAAAAAATTGAGCAGTACCACTTTCAGCCACTCAAAAGCAGCAGTGTAGTCATAGATTTATGGCATGCTGTTGAATCATGTAATAGGTAAACGTGGCTATGATGACAAATTCAAAAAAAGTTCAAAACAAAAACAACTGGACTTTATTTATTATACTTTACTTTATACTTTGTTTTTTTCCTTTAGCTTTTTTGAATTTACCTTGTCCTGAATGACTGAGAATCTTCACCAGCTATTAATGACTCAATTGGCCTGCCATACAACCACCTTCATTCTGCTAGCAGCTTAGAACCATCAAAGCAGCTGCACCTCCCCAGTGAAATGCAGCTGATTTGACCCTCAAAGTGCATTTTTTAAGTAAATGTTAGACTGAGACACACCTTTACTATAATTTTGAGCAAACAATTGTTTTTAAGTGTTAATCTTGTTAACTTCTTGTTAAAGTCCTCCCGTGCACAGTCCCGCGCCCGCCATTTGGCAGCCCATCAATTTTTGGCACAACACCAGCCCACATTTCCGGGTTCGGTTCACATTTCCGGGTTGTCAGCGGCGAAGAGTAACAAACGCGACGCGTCAGGGGTGACGCATAATAGATGCGACGTATATGGCGAAGCGACATCTTTATGGATTTTTCCATTTTATTAGACAAATGTGGACTGATGAGACTTATAGGGCGGTGCGGCGGAACATACGGTACTTGGATTTACTAACTTGGCTGTGTATATGACGCCCCTACTGTGTTCTTTTCTGCAGGTATGATGGGTCCTAGACGTCGTTTGGACAACCAGGAGAGTCCACGCATGTTGATGAAAGACGAGACATTTTCTCAGTAACGCACTTGGCAACAAAAACACTTTGTTTTGTTTGTGTGGGAACGGAACACACAGAAAAAAAGACCAGTGGCACTGGAGCTTTGGTTCTTTATGCTGTCAAACCAATGGACGTTTAGAGGTGACATTTGTGTTTGCTGCTCAGCAGGAGCAGCCTGAAACATCCCAGTCTGGACTTGAATGACTTTATTTTTATTCACAGAATCATTGTACCAAAACCAATTTTTTTTTTAAACTTTTGTTTTAGTTAATTTTTAGTCCAAAAAATTTGGGATTTTGTTGGCGTGTCCTGCTCAGAGGAAGAATCTTGTGAAACTGATGCAGTGGCTGAGACAGCTGGGCTAAGTGAGAAAAATCTGCACATACAGTATTTTGTTTCCTAAAACACAAGAGATTAGTTGAACTGCTATTATTTTACATTTTCAAATCACATTCTTTAAAAAGAATATGTCAAAGACAATCATGATGATGGTTTGTCTTTTGTTATCCCTGTCAGGGCTCCAGTTCTGCAGCTGAATCGCAACACGAGCAGCTCTGTTTGTCATTCACCTGTGGAACCTCGTTGGAAAAGGTTCACAAAATGAACATGTAATTGTACAAAACAGCTGCTGGCTGAAAGCAGCAGGTTTCTGTTTGGCTTTCTCTCTCGGTGGATAGATCGGCTTGTTTTCTAGCATTCAAATGCGTCTCTTTGTATCATGTTTACATTGTAAAGGGTTGCATATGTCCTTGGTGTGATGTGATAGTGTAAATATTCTAAAAGGTAAAATGCTGCTATCATGGCTCAGTTTGTTTCATCTGTCTAGCATAATAAATAATTTCTTACACGTCTTCAGGCTCTGTTTGCATTTGGCTGGCCAGCAGAGGGCGCTGTTGATCAAATGAGCCACTCTTCAATGGATGGTTCAGTTTTTAAACTGCTGAACTACAGGAAACATTGTTTCCTCTGATTTCTCCTGTTTATTATGAGAGGTAATGTATGTTACCATTCATAAAAGTTAAAACTATAAAATTATCCATTATTAAAATATATTAAACAATGCGAATATTAGGGATTATTTGAGATTCAAATCTTAAAATAGTGCTTTGAAACTGTCAATTATTAGGCACCATTATGTCACAGGTCATTAATAATTTTCAAGTTTTTTTTTTAAGTAAAATCTTAACTCATGCAATATTTATTCTAAAACTAAGAATCAATTTTTGTTGAGCCAAAACACTTGTTTTAATAGTTTCTTTCTCTAACCCTAATACGTTTTAGTTGTTACACTTAACACTACATACAGCCATCAACTGCTCCAAACTCAGGACCCAAATGAAACCCAGATTCACCATTTTGCTCTTTGCACTATAGATTGAAACTGATGACAACCACAAAAGCAAAGGTAGTTGATCTTTATTTTCTCTTTAACAAAAGTTCTGAGTTTGAGGATTTCTTGTGTTTTTAGTTTAACCTGCTCATATGGAGCATGTTCCTACGGTTTATTCGGCTGCTTTAATTGGAAACCGAGGCATAACGTGCTCTCGTGGTGGTGGTGGGGGGTCAGCGTGACTCAGTATTGGATTATTGGCCTGCAAGCAGTTGAACCACCAGACCTTAACAAATTGTTGAATTGTACTGCTGCAACTATGAACTGGTCTGAGAAGAAACAAAACACAAGGTTAAACAAAAAACACCCTAAAAAGATGAATGTCGTGTAAAACACAACCGTTTAGGGAAATTGTATTTTCTTTGAAATGTCAGTCTGAATTTTCATTCAACCTTTATTTAGACAGGTTAACCCCATTGAGGCTTGGGGACTCATTTACAAGAGACCTGATTTTAACAAAGAGTGATGACAGCCGTCATAAAATAGGCATACGATTTTTTTTTAAACAGATCAAAACAAAGTAGCAACCAAAAGGACAATCAAGAGAAATAGTAGCAGAAAAACAGCTAGATTAATGGTCGATTTAGGAAACTAAAAACAGGAGCACGTCTGCATTGGTTTTTGCCAATGCAATGACTAATGAGTGCTGAAATTAGTTTAATTTTTTTTAGCTAAGTTCAAATTGAATCAAGGCCAACAGAAGCTAAAATAATCAAAATATTAGATTAAATCTCAATTGGCAAAACCATAGTAAAAAAAAGCTCAAATGGGCAAAATTGTAGCTAAAACCTATATTCCACAGCTACCAAAAGCTAAAATTAGCAGAACAGTTGCTAAAATCTAAAGTGAGCCAATCTAGCTGGAAGCTAAAAAGAGAAACTGCTAAACTGTTGCTAAATGCCTAAATGAACATGGCCATAGCTAAAAGCTACAATGACAAACAATAAAGCTAATGGTAGCAATAGCTAGAAGCTACAATTGGTAACACTAGCAAAGAGAGAAAGTACTTTAAAAAAGTAGCTCAGTAAGAATTTATCAAAAGCCCAAGCCAACGAAATGTGACATGCACAGTGAAAGTACTCTAAATGGAGAACCGGAATGTCCGACAGTTTTGAAAGCAACATTTTGTCTCGCGTGTGGGCAGTGATCGCATTCTGACCACTTTATTTAGCTTTAAAGACAAGTTTGTCGTAAGGCACGCGCTGTCGTATGTTGCTGTAGCGACTTAGGGGAACCGTGAAGTCTCAGTTAGCTAGCCATGTTTAGTCGTCTAAAGACGGGCGGGAAATGACAGTGAAGAAACGAGGTAGAAGGAGGAAATCCCGGAACTTGAGACCGTCGCGCTAACGTTAGCTAGCTTTTTGTTGACAGTGTGCGCTTTGCTGTCAAACCAGTCGGAGCAGCAGCCGAGAGCAGACGCTGCTCAACGATTTTATACGAGTCGCGTTCAGGCGACCCGCTTGTAGTTTGGACCGGAGTTCGTGTGAAGTTTCCGTGACTTTTTTTTAATTTAATTTATTTTTATTAAAACCACTTGTGGAGCTAGAATGGCATCAAGAGGGAGCTTCGGAGCTCCCCAGATGAATCCGAATTTGAACCCCATGAATGTTGGCCATGTCTCGGGCATGAGGATGCCGCAGCCCCCGGCGGGTTACCACCGGAGCATGAACACCGCTCCCCAGTTCCCCCAGGTTTGATTCTTCACTTTTACCAGTAAAGACAGAATAATTGAGCAGAACTGTCAGCTAGTTCCTCCTCAGTTTGTTACTTTACAGGTAAATTGAACCCTTGAGTTCGTTAATTACACGAGTTGCTGCTGCTTCCGTCTTTTGAAAAGTCTCTGAAGTGACTTCCTGGCATCAGCCTAAAGGGTTGAACTGTTTTAGAAGATTTCCACAACTGTAGAGATGATCAACAGTATAACATTAAATGGAAATAAGTGCCACAAAAACAGGTTTTGATTCTGAGGGAAAGTCACGTGGTTGCCCTTGGGCTCCTGTCAGTTAGTGAAAACAAAAGTTTATCATCACCATCTGCTCGTGGGCAGGTCTGTGTGCATATATTACTCCAGTTTCTGCAGCTTCAAGAGGGGGAGGCTTACTTTTCACAACTACTTATCATATTTGGTTATGATATTTGGGTTTCTGTTGAAGGAGAAGCCAACAAAACAATAAAACTGTTTTAGGTTAAAGGAAGTAAAAAAAAAAAAAAACAGGAGGGGATCACAACTAAATGCTTAATATATAGAAGGAAGTGCATTATTAAACTGACTGCATCATGTCTTCATTTTGGTGAGATTTAAAACCTTGCATTCATACAGGTGTAGATTAAAATCGTCAACCCAGAAATCAGATCTACTTATTGTCGTATTATGGTTTTCACAAAAAATTACAGACTAAGATCTTATTTGCCACACTCTAGTATTTGTGTTTTTGTCCAGACAAGGTATTATGCTATATTTAGTACAAAAGTCAGTTTTAGATGGTTTGGACCTTTTTTTTTTTTACTGGGAGTTTTAGCGTCACAGATTTGTTGTTGCCCTCAGTGCCCTTTATAAGCTGTTTTTTTGGGGGGGGCAATATGTTGTTACCATGTGAGTGGTGTAGTCTTGGAAAAACCTTTTGGTAAATGGCGATTGTAACCCCACCCCCATAAAGACTAGGATCCAAATTTTCACAGCGTGAGCTACGCAACTTAACCTGTCAGTGGTCTTAATGCTTAAAAATGTAGCTTCAGTAAGCCTAGTTTACAAACCGGATTCCAAAAAAGTTGGGACACTAAAGAAATTGTGAATAAAAACTGAACGCAATGATGTGGAGATGGCAAATGTCAATGTTTTATTCGTAATATAACATAGATGACAGATCAAAAGTTTAATCTGAGTAAATGTAACATTTTAAAGGAAAAATATGTTGATTCAAAATTTCACAGTGTCAACAAATCCCAAAAAAGTTGGGACAAGTAGCAATAAGTGGCTGGAAAAAGGAAATTTGGCATATAACGAACAGCTGGAAGACCAATTAACACTAATTAGGTCAATTGACAACATGATTGGGTATAAAAAGAGCTTCTCAGAGTGTCAGTGTCTCTCAGAAGCCAAGATGGTAAGAGGATCACCAATTCCACCATTGTTGCGCAGAAAGATGGTGCAGCAATACCAGAATGGTGTTACCCAGCGTAAAATAGCAAAGACTTTTAAGTTATCATCATCAACCGTGCATAACATCATCAAAATATTCAAAGAATCTGGAACAATCGATGTGCGTAAGGGTCAAGGCCGTAAAACTCTACTGGATGCTCGTGAGCTCCGGGCCCTTAAACGTCACTGCACCTCAAACAGGAATGCCACTGTCAAGGAAATAACAGAATGGGCTCAGGAATACTTCCAGAAAGCATCGTCAGTGAACACAATCCACCGTGTCATCCGCCGTTGCCAGCTGAAACTCTACAGTGCAAAGAGGAAGCCATTTCTAAGCAAGCTCCCCAAGCTCAGACATTTGCACTGGGCCAGGGGTCATTTAAAATGGAGTGTGGCAAAATGGAAGACTGTTCTGTGGTCAGATGAGTCACGATTTGAAGTTCTTATGGAACACTGGGACGCCATGTCATCCGGACCAGAGAGGACAAGGATAGCCCAAGTTGTTATCAACGCTCCGTTCAGAAGCCTGCATCACTGATGGTATGGGGTTGCATGAGCGCTTGTGGCATGGGCAGCTTGCATGTCTGGAAAGGCACCATTAATTCAGAGAACTATGTTCAGGTTCTAGAACAACATATGCTCCCATCTAGACGTCATCTCTTTCAGGGAAGACCCTGCATTTTTCAACACGATAATGCCAGACCACATTCTGCAGCAATCTTAACATCATGGCTACGTAGGAGAATGATCCGGGTACTGAAATGGCCAGCCTGCAGTCCAGATCTTTCACCTATAGAGAACATTTGGCGCATCATAAAGAGGAAGGTGCGACAAAGAAGGCCCAAGACGATTGAACAGTTAGAGGCCTGTATTAGACATGAATGGGAGAGCATTCCTATTTCTAAACTTTAGAAACTGGTCTCCTCTGTCCCCAGACGTCTGTTGAGTGTTGTGAGAAGAAGGGGGGATGCCACACAGTGGTAAAAATGGACTTGTCCCAACTTTTTTGGGATTTGTTGAAGCCATGAAATTTGGAAACAACAGATTTTTCCCTTTAAATGATACATTCTCTCAGTTTAAACTTTTGATGTGTGATTTGTGTTCTATTCTGAATAAAATATTAGATGTTGGCACCTCCACATCATTGCATTCAGTTTTTATTCACAATTTGTTTAGTGTCCCAACTTTTTTGGAATCCTGTTTGTATTTAGATCACCTATTTAAAGGCATTTCAGTCTTTTGACTTTTCTAACTAAAACAAAATATTTTATTGTAGTTAATTGCTCATCATTAAACAGATTAAAGAAGTATTTCAGATTTATTAAAGCAGGATTCTATAAAAAAATTACGAAGAGTTAATATCTTACCTGCAGATGGCTCGTTGCTCAACTGCAGTTTGGTGAAATAGAGTTCAGACTGTCGAGCTAACGGCTAATCCAAGCGGAGCCAAGACCAAAGTGGATTGCCGACTTAAAACGGCTTCAATCATAAGTTTCATGGCGGTTCATGCAAATGCTACTTCAAAAGTTTTTACTTCTACATCAGTGTCACATAGAAATTGACGGTCGTTTGCCATCCTAAATGGCAGCAGCGGCAGCTAGCTGTTGCACTTCTAATATTTGTGCATAAAAAAAAATACACCAATAAAAATTCTCGTCTTTTTATATTATTTCCTGTGGAAATGTACTGGAAAGATAAGTTTGCACTATTCAGAAGAGTTTTAATTTGCAACGTCTTTTGAAATTGATGAATTTTCAGGAACTTTAATCACTCGCTCCTTTTCACTCCAGCGTCCTGGGATGCCACCCGGCAGAGTCGGGGGCCCCATGGGGTCAATGGGGGGTCAGTTGCCTGGTCCTTCCTACGGCGGTGGCAACATTCCTATGCGGCCAGGAATGGGACCTCCAAGCATGGATGCCTCGAGGAAACGGTTTCTTCATCTGCAGCAGCAGGAGACGCTGGGAGGCCTGAGGCGAGGGTAAACTCAGGAGGAGCAGGAGAATAAAACAAAGCTTCATTAGGACGTGGCGCTACAAATATCATGACTTTATTTACATACATTTACAAATGAAAACCGTAAAATGTTCCTCTTTCCCCAAAACTGGACATTTTCAGATGGTAACAGTCTGTCAAACCGTAAGAATAATATTTTTTGAAGTTGTTTGTCTCCTGAGTATACTGATTTTCAAGAAGTGCCCAAGTGAGTTCTAAATTGTCGGTTTTGTTAAAGTCGAGCTTGGCTCTTGGAGCCAAAACCTCCAGCATCTCATGACTGTGTTTTGAAAAGCAACAGAAACAAGCGGCTATTTTTGACTTCAAGCTGCTCGGTGACGCAGAAAGTGTCAAACCGCAAGGCGAAGCATCATTTACAGCCTCATCCACAATGAATGTGTTGTTCTAAAGTGCATTTCACAACAACATCCTTGATATTAGAGGAATATTGAGCTGCATTGCTGAAAGTGTTGCCCTATTTTTTTCATTGAAGCACTTCATTAAAGAAACGCAACAACTCCTGTAAGTTGATTAGCAATAAGAGGAAACCTCGGGAAGGTTTTCAGAAGATTTAATAAAGAGCAAACATTGGCCAAGATGGATAAATCACTCTAAAGTTGTCCATAACTCTATAATCTGTGTTTCCCTGACCATTATACAAGTGGGGCGTCCCGCCCCGTCAACAGAACCGAGCGCCCCGCCTACCCCCTGTTGACAACTGTCGATATTGATGTAACGCAAGGTGCAATACAAATGTGCTAGCAAAAAGGCTACTGACACCCCCCGCCCCCCCCCCGTCAACAATTACCCGCACGGTAGCCCAAAACCCAGATGGAGCACAAAGCCAGCAGGGGGGCAAAATGGATGGGCCCCCCCCCCCCCCGTCGACAACTGTCTGTACTGATGTAGCACGGTGCGTAATACAATGCTAGCATAAATGAAATGCTACTGACGTTCTGCTCCGCTTCCCCCTTCCCCATGGATAAAAGCTAGCAGCAACAGTGCTAAGCTAACAGACGGGCAGCACAGACGTGACACCCCCCCCCCCCCCCCCCCAAAAAATAAAATACGAGCGCTCCGCCAAGGGAACTGCTCTAAGGGAAACACTGCTAATCATCAGAGATGTTTCTCAGTTTATCTTGTCATGTGTCTGCAGGCCGTCCTAAGAGTTGAAGGGTTTTTTGGAGGCTGTGGTGTCTTTAAAAAAAGAGATCTCTTGTATTTTAAGAAACCTTGTTTATGATTAATTTATTACATTCAAAGTAAACATACAGAACTCTGGAATTGATCTTATTTGTTTCGTGTTTTTTTCCCCTGTGATTTAGAGCAAAACGACGCAAGATGGCTGACAAGGTTCTGCCTCAGAGAGTATGTGAACTCTGACCTCTTGAATTATTAAACAGGTCATTAAAGATGGCTAGTTTTCATAAAAACTCAACTTCATTTGGTTCTTTAGATACGAGACTTGGTTCCAGAATCCCAGGCCTACATGGACCTTCTGGTCTTTGAGAGGAAGCTGGATCAGACCATCGCTCGGAAGCGCATGGAGATTCAGGAAGCCATTAAGAAGCCCATCATGGTATCTCTTCTTCATCTTGTGTTAGTTTTAATAAAATATACAGATGCTTGTTGATGGTTTCAGCCTCTGGAAGAGCTACACTAATATTTAGTGTGCAAACAAATAATTTTATTGAATGATGTCAAGCAGAACTATCTGAATGGTATTTCTAATCAGTCACTTTTGTTTTAGAACAATTTACTTCATAAATATTTGGAGAAGAGCACAATTTTTAATGATTTCTGGTGTACAATAAATACTTTGTCACAGTACAACATCCAGCAAAGTAAGACAAAATGTCATTGTTAGTTTTGTTACTATTGAATATTAACAAATAACAAGGTTGATCAAAACGTGTTAGTTTAAAACAAAGAAAAAAAACATCAATAAATCAAATACAATAAAACAAACTAAAAATAATTGAAAAGAAAGGAACACCAGTTTCCTTCTGTGCTTTAATTCAGCTCTCAGGTGCACCAAGAACATCTGGCTGGATGATCTCAGTGCTCTCTTTGACATAATTTATAAAAACTGGTTTTTGACAAACTAGTTTTCTGCTTCCCTAATTTTTTTTAAATTAATTTATTTATCAAGAGATTATACAATGTTCCAACATTTTTCAGTCAGGTCATCTGGACAGTTTTTTTTTTTTGTGCTGAAACGTTTCGCCTTCAACCCGGAAGGCTTCATCAGTCAAGGAAACGCACAACAAAACTGATTCTTCCTCCAACAGCTTACTCCAAAGTGGAACAAACCAGTTCTGTTTGTGATAAGATGGTCTCTTTGGTACGCCCCCTCCTCCATTGCCGGCCCTCTTCCTTGTTGACAGTCTTGTCAAACTGGTTGAAAACAACAAAGTCCAGATGACCTGACTGAAAAATGTTGGATTGTATACCTGGATTATTGAGCATGGACTTTGTTTTTAATACAGTGTTATTCACAATATAAAACATTATACAAATGCAAGAACAAAGAGAAAAAGTAAAAGAAAAAAAAAAAAAAAAGGTGTGGTGGTGGTGGGGGGGTGTCTAAAAAATAATACTTTACAGTCTTTATAAATGTGTCACATGGTGCGTAAATTACACAATTCTACACACCAAGGAGGTAAAGATTTAAGGTACTCAACAAATGATGTCCACTTGCGAGTAAATTTTTCCGAACTACCTTCACTGTTAGTGAAATCTTCTCCACCCTCAAAAATGTCCTGACAGTGTTAAGCCATAGTAATGTAGATGGAGGTGTGGGAGATTTCCAGAAGAGTAAAATGCAGCGTCTTTCCTAATTTAAAAGAACTGTCACAAACGGAGGCTACAGTGGGGCAGAGACTTCTAGTTTAAACGAAAAAAATGTGGGTGCCATCAGCATAACAATAAAAGGAAATACACGGTAGTTTGTGAATATTGATCCCAAAGTTAACATATACTGCATCGTATAAACGGAATAGTACCGAAAATAGAGCCTTGAGGTACACCACAACGAATAAGGGATGAGAATGAGGATTCTCCCATAAATACTGAAAACAAACTTCCAGCAAACAAAGATCCTATTTAAGTGTTTTATAAAAAGAATACTTAGTATTTCTAGATCAGTTTGATCAGAAGTTGCAATCAATCCATTTGAATAAAGAATTGAAAGGCCTGATTGAATTACTTAACCAAAACATTTTCTCATAATACCAGACAAGATCACGAACAGTGTTATTTGGACAGAAGAGTCTGCTTGCATCAGAAAATGAGAAGAAAATAAATCTCAAAGAGGGCTTTGAAAGTCTCCAAGCTCCGTGGTGTAGAACACAACATTTAAAACATGTGGAGGCAGAGTGAGGGCTCGGCCACGCATGGCTTCCAAAGGAACTGGGTTATGGGGGGTTGTTGATGATACACTCAGACACTTTGTAAGGTATTGAAGTAAATGGCTCGGATTCAACCAGTTAGTTGATCTAATGGCACTTCGTAGTACAGATGAACAGAATCCAGGAGTTTTTGTGAACAAAGAAAGAGAAGATTTGAGACTGAATGATTTGCAAACAGCTGCAGTGAAGCATCTCGCAGAAGGAAACCTGCCATTATTTATAGAGGTGGATGTGTTCCAGCCTCCATGCAGTCATTAGCTGTAAAACATTCTTGGCAAAATATATAAAAATGGGAAATTTCAACAATTGTTTTCATTTTCCTTGAAGAAATGCATATCGCTCTCTCTGTCTATGCCTGAAGAAGTGTCAGGATTATAGTCGTTTTGGTCGAGCGTTGACGATAAAGTAAAACATTTTCTGTTCTAACTTTTTGTCGTCTTGTTTTTCTGTGACGCAGCAAAAGCGCAAACTTAGGATCTACATTTCCAACACTTTCACTCCCAGCAAGCCCGAGGGTGAGGAGGCAGAGAAAGTGGCCTCCTGGGAGCTGAGAGTCGAAGGCAAGCTCCTGGAAGAGGTCGGTGGAAAAACGCCGCCGACACGTTCCCACTGTTCTTGCATTGTTCGGCCGTCGTCTCATTGTGTTCTGCCTCCAGATGTTTTCGCCTGTTGTTCGGTTCCTGCTCATTTCGGTCTGCTTGTGTTTTTGGCTCTGGCGTTTGCATCCAGATGTGTTACAGCTTTCCCATGTCCCACCCCACCATTGCTAACGCACACTCTCACACACACTTCAGCTCATGTTCGGTGTTGAAATGTGGAATTGAAACCACTGGCCGCTGCATACCATGAGCTGACACCCCCCTCCCTCCATCACTTCCAGCTCAGCTCATTGTGTCATCTGGGGCCACGGAAGATGGATGCTTTATTCTTTTTTTTTTTCCCTCTAGGCATGCGTAGGAGTTCTGCATGAAGCAACAGTTAAGAAAAACGAACGAAAGGGGATGTCTGGAAAGGAGTGAAGGGGGTTCTGTTGTGCAAACAGACTTTGACAGGGCAGCTGAGGGGGTGGGGTGTGTGGGGGAGAGGGGGGGTTGCAACAGCTTTTTCTACTCAACCGTTCGTCTCCACAGCCCTGATGTGGTCAGAGCTCAACAATGCAGCTCCACACGGACTCTTCGCAGTAACGAACGCCTTTCTGCCGTATTTGTAACATTCTCTCGTTCGTTCTGTGTTTTCAGCCCGGCAAGCAGAAGAAGAAGTTCTCGTCCTTCTTCAAAAGTCTTGTGATCGAGCTCGATAAGGAGCTTTATGGACCAGACAATCACTTAGTGGAGGTACGATGATCAGAGTCATGAAATAAGTCTGAGTTCATAAAGAAGTCGCCAGCATCAGACTCATGTGTCAAAACAGAGGGAGATGAGCTATTTTTAGATGATTGATTTAGTAAAAAAAAAAAAAAAAAAAAGGAAAACGTTGTGAAAAGTTCTGATTGTTTCTTTTCCAGTGGCACAGAATGCCCACCACTCAGGAGACCGATGGTTTCCAGGTGAAAAGGCCGGGCGACGTGAACGTCAAGTGCACTCTTCTGCTCATGCTCGACCATCAGGTAGCACCAGCTCTCTGAAATGATTCACATTATCACTTATCTTCCTCATGTATTTATCATGCGTCCCTTTCAGCCTCCCCAGTACAAACTGGACCCGCGCTTGGCCCGTCTCCTGGGTGTGCACACGCAGACTCGGGCCAGCATCATGCAGGCCCTTTGGCTCTACATCAAGAACAACAAGCTGCAGGACAGCCACGAGAAGGAGTACATCAACTGCAACCGCTACTTCAGACAGGTAACGAGACAGACTGATGAAGTTTAATGATTAAAGGTGAAGAATTAGTTCAATTTGATTTGGGAACACGTTTTTATTTTAAGAACCAGTTAATGCATAAATCACTTTATTATTTTTTTTTTTAAGGAATAGATCCACAAAGAGCTGTAACACTTTGTATTTGCCAACAAAACAGCCCTGACCTGTCAAGACACAGACTCTACTTTTCATCTGCTGAAATATCAGGCATCAAGTTGTCACCAGCAGATCCTTTAAGTCCTGTAAGTGGTGAGGTGGGGCCTCCATGGATCAGACTTGTTTGTTTTGCACAATTCAATCTGGAGAATTTGAAAGACGGAGTCAGTGCCCGTGCTTTATGTTCTGTGAAGCGTCTTTAAATCATATTTGTGAGCTGGAAGCGCGATCCTGCTGCTAAATCACAAATACAGATAAACAACCACATGGACCCTGTTTGTCAGCCATCTTGCTTTTTCTCACCCATAATACATCCTGTTATCATATCCTTATCTCACTGATATATGAGGACTCAAGTTATTAAGATGATCTGAAATTAAATATTATTCTTCAGACCAGGCGGTGCCTTTTTTCTCCTCACTTCAGGGTCCAGTTCTGTCTAGGCCTGTCGTAATAAACAATAAATCAATTAATCGCATGATAAATGAAAATTATCGACTCCATTTTCATTTATTGGCTTTATCATTTCTTCGTCTCTTTCTACTGAAGACACTGGATGATAATAAACTCAACTCCGGTGCTCTTCACTGACCCCTCCCTTTCTCTCTTCTCTTTAAAATCTGTTTTAATCATCCAAAATCGTGTTTTTAGATTGTTAAAAGCAGCTAAGCTGAGAAGCTAAGCTACGAGCTAAGGTAACAGGCCGACCTCAGGAAAATCCTCCGTCTTGTCAAAGCTCCAAAATTCACGGTTGAAACCTGTGCCTTCATCTAAAAAGTTGTTTTTCTCCGCAAAAAGAAGCTGAGAACTTGTTTACTGATTTTTTTTTTTAATTAAAAGCTTTGTGTGAAAAATGCTATGCTAAAGAGCTCAAACCACACAGAGCGTCCATCATTTTGAGAACCCAAGAGAGACAGCCCATGTCAAGTCAAGGGGCCTCCCTCCCATTTTTCTTAACACGCTGCTCGTTCCCTCTTTATCCATCCTTCGGTTCAAACAGTCTTGTACTGCCATCTGGTGGTTGAAAAAAGATTACATGTAAAACAAATTAAAAATTTCTTCTTAAATTTAACAATAATTACTAATTATTGTCACATTTCAAACAATATTATCGTTTATTGCAATAATTCCTGAAACAATTAATCGTCCAGCAAAATTGTTATCGTGACAGGCCTAGTTCTTTCGGTCTGTCGTCCCCTCTGGGCCACTTCACCTGTTCTTCCACAGCAGAGCAGAAACCTACGACTCTTCGTTTTGTCAGTTCATAGAAAGCAGAACGAGTCCGACGCCTAAAGTTCAGTTCTCTAACAAACTCTTCTCAGATCTTCGGCTGTCCACGCATGCGGTTCTCTGAGATTCCCATGAAACTGGCGGGCCTCCTGCAGCACCCTGACCCCATCATCATCAATCACATCATCAGGTCTGTGGGTCTTTATGATTCTGTCTGTGTTTGGGTTTTTTCTTTGTAATTTCACCACTTTATATATATATTTTTTTTAATCTCTGTTTTTATTCCCGCTACAATAAAACAATAAACTGAACATGAGGATTTTTTTTCTAGTAGAGAGGACTCTTTGGGTTCAGGAACACTTATGATTACAGTTCATTGCTGCAGCCACAAACTGAAGAGAAAACGTTTTAAGTCCCAGTAAAAAGATTCATGTACAAGATGCAGAGATTATCTTGTAGATTTTTTTGCTGACAAAGTGGAAAACTCTGCTGCTGTCCTGAAATATCACTGAGAGGAACTTTTTCGTGAGCATCTCTCCTCTTTGTCTCCCCTGAGCAGTGTGGACCCCACAGACCAGAAGAAGACGGCCTGTTACGATATCGACGTGGAGGTGGACGACCCTCTGAAAGGTCAGATGAACAGCTTCCTGTCCTCCACCACCAACCAACAGGAAATTGCTGCACTTGAGATGAAGGTGAATCGAATGCTTTTATTTTTAATCAACTAATTAGCTGCAATCTCCTTAATTATTAACAAAAGCCTGCTTTTCTGGTTGCTCAGATTCATGAAACGATTGAGTACATTAACCAGCTGAAGACTGAGAGAGACTTCATGCTGAGCTTCAGCAACAACCCCCAGGAGTTCATCAAAGACTGGCTCAAGTCTCAGTGCAGAGACCTGAAGGTAAACCAGACTAAATGCTTTTATTGTGGAAGTACAGTGAGGAGGCTGAAGGACCACTGAAGAAGCTCAAACTGAGTCCAGAAGCTCAAACTGAGTCCAGAAGCTCAAACTGAGTCCAGAAGCTCAAAGAAGACCAACGGAGCTAAATGCTGAAGCAGGTTTCAAAATAAAAGCTTGAACTGGAGATATTGGAGCTACAGATGGAAAACTACTGGGATACTTCAGCCCTGCTGTCATCATATCTTTCATGGTTCATCACCGCAGTGCCGGTTCCACTAAAGCTAATATTAGCGAGCATGACTCCATGTCTAATTATCAAATTATTTGAAAAGCTTACAGCTATTAACAGCTTAGCTTCAGCCTCTAAGGAGCAGAAATGAGTGTGAAATGAGCAGGCTGAGACTCGGGTTCTCCTTCTGTAACCCAGCATTAGTCTAAAACACATTTCACTTTTATTAAACCTTTATTCCAACTGGGAAAATACAAAACTGAGCATTTATTGCGCATGGATTTTGAAATTTCTTAAACCCATTTCTCACATTTTTCAGTTTCAGCCACTTCTGTGGTCCACACTTCTCCGTTAGGTGTCAGGATGGATACTAACTGTATTCCTGATGAAGGTGAAAAGCAGGTCTAGTTGGATAATTACCGGTACTCTCTTGATGAAAACGGCTGGAACAAAATGTTGGCTGTAAGGAGCGAACATATTTTGCCGACTTGGGTTTTGGTTTAGAAAAACGATCGTCCTGCAGGTGGAGCACTACATCAGCATAAACACGTCTAAACACGTTTAATCGTGCGGCTAACGCTAATTATATGTTTTGAATCATCTACTTTTTTTGTCTGGCAGTGCATCAGTGATATCATCCAACTGTGTTTCATTCATGAAGTCGAGGCTGATTTCACCAGGCTGACGTTACGCGGGGTTCATTTAGCGGTCACACATCTGCTCCAACTTGTTGTAGATGAAGAAGAGTCAAAACAAACACTATTTTAGATTTTGAGAGGATTTTCTAGTTTGGGGCAAATTACTCCCACTTCCAGAACCCGTGGAGCGTGATCGTGTTTAAATGTCGAATCAGCCGAGCGTTATTTCACTGTTTAAAAACCTCGCGTTCATTGGTGTTTTTCTGTTTGATCAGCTGATGACGGATGTGACCGGAAACCCCGAGGAGGAGAGGAGGACCGAGTTCTACCAGGAAGCCTGGGTCCCAGAGGCAGTGGGACGCTACGTCTACTCCAAAGTAAGTCAAATAAACACGTTTAAGGACGGCGTTCATATTTGTTGTTGTCCGTGTGGACGTTATTGGTCGTTTGTTCCAGGTGCAGCAGAGAAGACAGGAGTTGGAGCAGGTGTTGGGGATCCGACTCACCTAAAGGCAAATCCCAGAAGAGCCTCGTCAGAGTTAACTGGTCGAATGTTAACGTGCGATTGTTAGAAACTGGAATGAACAGAGCCATTACTTTAGTCACTGAGACATCCTCACTGACTAACTGAGACCAAACGATGGGACCAAAGTGATTTTTGTGTCCTTTTACATTTTTGCCTTTCATTGTTGTTGATTTTGAGCTTGTTCAAATAATTTTTGCCAATATGTTTTGTTAATGGTACAAACTGTTTAAACACTGGTATTGTTAAGGTGATTATACCGCCCTGCTCTTGGGTGCTTATTTTATTTTTTTATATTAATGTTTAAAAGCTACAACATTTGAATAAGAACAGCGCCTGCTGTCTAATATTTTTTTTACCTTTGAAGCTTTTTACTCAATTTAAATGTAATTGTATTACATGTTAATTAAATATCCTTGAAATGCACATTTCAATCTAAATTAAATGTTTTAAAAAGTGACATGTAAAACCTTTAAAACTTTATTACAGGCAATTATTTTCTTAAAAAGTCAAATCAAAACAAGAATTTGTTTATGCCTATATGTCATTAAATAAAAAAGTAAAAAGATTTGACTCTTTGTCTACTCTGTTCAGCTGTTTTCTTCAGAAGCCGTTTCATGTTTTAAAGAGTTACGTTTATTTCCTTTAAGACCAGCAAAGTTTATCTTTGCAGACTGGAAGTTCATTGTTATCCGTTTGGAACAGAAACTGGTGTCAGATCTCAAATAAAGTCCAACTAAAATGCCTTTTTGTAAAGATTTTGTATCAGTTTTATTTTTTAATTATTCCACGTTTTGTGCCGTAATGCGCTTTGTGACATTGATTAATTGAGCATAAGTTTGTACAAATGTTTTTGTACAGCATCTTTGTTGTCAGATGTTTGCATGTTTATCATATAAAAGCTTTTATCTTTTATACATTTGAGGTATTTTTTTACAATAAATACTTACAAATACTTGTTATACTGTTTTGTTTTTATAAACCAATAATATTTTGTGTGTGTTCTGTGCGTTATCATAGTAAGAGCCTTCCTTGCTTGAAATATAAAGTCTGCTAGGATCAGGGGCTGTAGTTGTGCATGTTTGGGCTGGTCGCAGGGCTCGGGTGCTTCAACAGGAATGTCTGGTTTGACTCAAAAGCCACTCCTCAAATATAGACCAAGATAAATCCGTTTGTCGTCACAGAGCTGAGTCTCGGCTTGTAAGATGATGCGCTTCCACCAAAAACATTTAAACAGTGTCACTTTATGCATTTTGAAGTTAAATGCCCCATTTACCTAATAAAATAAGCTTGACGAGTCAACATTTTACTTTAAATTGTAATTTAGCTTATTTTGTTAACTATTGTGTAGAAACGCTTACAACAAGTATATTTTTCCAGTTTTATTTCTGTTAACAGTTTAACGTTTCTCTGTAATTTGGCAAAAATAACTACAGGGGGCGACAAGGATATTTAACATTAAAATAAGAATCGAAGAAGAAGACGTACACCGGAAGTATGGCCTACCTGAAGCGGATGTAGATATTTCAAGATGGACGTAGATGTGATTGAGACTGTAGGTGGATTTTTTTTTTCTGTTTTCTTGATTTTCTCCGCATTTTAGCCAGGAAACTTTGTTGTTGCGCTTTGAAATGATTAGTTACTTTAGTCGGTTGTGATCTGAACACATTTTACGGATTTAATTTTAGATGTGAAGTGTTACTTATTTTTAAACAATGTGTTCAGTGCTGCCGGTTTGCTGTCTCATTGTAGCTAGACATGCTAAAACGATGTCAAATACTTTAGTTTACCGTCCAGAGCTAACTTTTTTAATTGTATTTACATTAAGTACACGAAACGTTTGCGTTGACATTTAAAATTACAATAAAATAAATTCGACTAGTTTTAAGTCTCTTAACTTGGTGACTTTTAGCTCAATGCTAACTGGAGTTTATCAGTGTTGAAAAATGTAACGCTATGAAGTCTTTATTGTTGCACTTCTAATACAGTATTTCACTTTAGAGGCACTTATTAAACGCAGTTATTGTTTATACACCATTTTTCATGGTTAAATTGCCCATACCTAAAACCACTGGAACAAGCTACCAATCAGTTTAATGAAAATGAATCTAATTGAGTTGTTTGTACGATCTGGTTTGATGCTATTTAGCCAAATCCCAGTGAAATAGATGTTAGTTTCTGACAAATAAAATGTTGCTTTGCAGCAAAGAATAATGGATTTCCTTAATTTATAATTTGTTTAATTTGTTAATGCACAAAACCTAAATTTGAATACAATATTATGATTAATATTTCAAAGGTTGCCATTTTTATACTGAAGTTAAAACGGTATTAAAGGGAAGAAATAAAACAACTTTAGTCTTGGAGAAAGATGGTGAGATAATTGTTCACACGTTTTGCCTCCATCTTCGATGAACAAATGTTTTCAATATAATACCCGAGATCATTTTATTATATATGGAGTAAAACTGATCTGTCCGCAGTATTTAGCAGACGTATTGTAAAGACAAAAAAAAGTTTATTTTCATGTTAATCGCTGTTGTCATGGGTTTGTGCTTTTTGTTGATGTCTGTAGTGGAATATGAATAAACAAATCACTAAAATTAATTTGTCTTTAACAGATGGACGTGGGGGAGAGTAAAGGTGGAACGGGTCTCCGGCAGTACTACTTATCTAAGATAGAAGAGTTGCAGGTGAGAAAATGAATGAGTCACATCTGCAAAATAATTGGATTTGGACTTGCACATTTGTAGTACACTTATCAAGTCTTTGTTTCGATATTTTTACAGCTGACAGTAAATGAAAAGAGTCAGAATCTTAGACGTCTGCAGGCACAAAGGAATGAACTAAATGCCAAAGGTATGTTTATTTCAGCACCTTTTGTTATATTGCATCATTTTATTTCATTGTCTTAAAAATTGGTAGAGAAATGTCTTCACAAAACATTTTCCTTGGTTTTCTGTCGCAGTGCGTCTCCTTCGTGAGGAGCTGCAGTTACTGCAGGAGCAGGGATCCTATGTGGGCGAAGTGGTCAGGGTTATGGACAAGAAGAAAGTGCTGGTCAAAGTATGTTGTGTTCATGCAGCAAGTTTCAGTTTGATTTGACATCAGGCAGTTTGGATGAACTTGTTTTCTGATCAACCCAGGTGCACCCAGAAGGAAAGTTTGTTGTGGATGTGGACAAAAACATTGACATTAATGATGTAGGTATCATTTTATTAGCCATTTGTATCAGGAAACCTAAAACTGTTTTACAGTTTTCATTAAAATGTCTTTGCAACATTTGCAGGTGACTCCTAATTGCCGCGTGGCTTTACGAAACGACAGCTACACCCTCCACAAGATCCTGCCCAACAAAGTGGACCCTCTGGTGTCCCTGATGATGGTGGAGAAGGTGCCAGACTCCACCTATGAAATGATCGGTGGCCTGGATAAGCAAATCAAGGAGATCAAAGAAGTTATTGAACTGCCTGTCAAGCACCCAGAGCTGTTTGAGGCTTTGGGAATTGCACAGCCGAAGGCGAGTACCGTAACTGTCAGAGCAGTTGATGGAGAGGAGAAATCCAGTTTTGGATATTTTTTAATTTAAAGAGTAAAATATTTTTGTAAAATTTGCAAGTATAATTAAGCAGCAGAATGATAACAAAATCACAATTCTTTGCAGTGTTGTTTAAATATTTAGATTTGTTGAGTAATGGGTTACTTTGAGTCATTTTGATTGAAGAAAAAACTCAGAATATTTTACAAACATCTGAAACGAGCTACATTCAGCACGTGTTCCTGAACAGTCGGCTACACAACGTTTTACTTCTCTTGCAGGGTGTGCTGTTGTACGGACCTCCAGGTACAGGGAAGACCCTGCTGGCCAGAGCTGTGGCCCACCACACCGACTGTACCTTCATCCGAGTGTCTGGTTCTGAACTGGTCCAGAAATTTATTGGGGAGGGTGAGCTCATTTCTTTTTTTATGCTTTTTGTTTGTCCTTTAGATTTTTTTTATTTTTTTTATTTAAAATGTGCTTTCTAACCCCAGGTGCTCGTATGGTGCGTGAGTTGTTCGTCATGGCGAGAGAACACGCTCCCTCCATCATTTTCATGGATGAGATCGACTCCATCGGCTCCTCTCGTCTGGAGGGCGGCTCAGGTGGGGACAGCGAAGTGCAGAGGACGATGTTGGAGCTGCTCAATCAGCTGGACGGCTTCGAGGCAACCAAGAACATCAAGGTATCACAGAAACATCGTTTGAGTTTTAAAGAGGTTTCTCCACAATTTATTATAAGGGGAATATAGTTTTAAATGAAAATAACTGTGGACTGTATGTTAGAATGAATCCTGATAACTCTTTACTTATTTGTTGCCAACATTAAACTAGGTTAAAAAAAAATCTAAGAATATTCTTAAAGAATAATTTGATTAAATGTAAATATTTTATAAATTTAGGAATATATTCTATATAGACTGCATTTGTGGTCGAGATTTAAAGTTTTGTTCCCCTACAGCTGAAATCTGCTCAAGCTTTAATTCCTCAATCTTTCAAAAATTGTTTTATTCTGAAAGTTTCTCTCCTGAAATGGTCGTTTAATTTGAAATAAATAGTTTAGTTACAAAATCTGACACGTTCAGCAACATCAAGAATACAGTAAATCTAAATACTGTTGGTAAAACAGACATGCATAAATCAGATTCTCTTATTACTCATTTTATTTACAACCGTGTCTCTGTAGGTCATCATGGCCACCAACCGTATCGACATCCTGGACTCGGCTTTGCTCAGGCCAGGCAGGATCGACAGGAAGATTGAGTTCCCCCCTCCTAATGAAGAGGTAGTTAACTGCGTCAAAAAGCACTTTAAATGATTTATTATTCGGTGTGGGAGTTATTTGAACATTTCTGCATTATCAGGCTCGTCTGGACATCCTGAAGATCCACTCCAGAAAGATGAACCTGACACGTGGCATTAACCTGAGGAAGATTGCGGAGCTCATGCCGGGAGCATCTGGTGCTGAGGTTAAGGTGAGAATCCGCTCGTTAATTGGAACGTAGGCGTCAAATCAAAGTGAGTCTAAATATTAAATGTAAACGTGCGCTGCAGGGGGTTTGCACGGAGGCAGGGATGTATGCTCTGAGAGAACGGAGAGTTCACGTCACTCAGGAGGACTTCGAGATGGCCGTGGCAAAGGTCAGTTTAATTTTGCTCACCCCTCCCCCATTTTTATATTTTTGGTGCTTCAACATCTTTAAATAAAACCTTCCTCATTCTGTTCATCAGGTGATGCAGAAAGACAGCGAGAAGAACATGTCCATCAAGAAGCTGTGGAAGTAACAGTCCAACTGTATGTGTATATTTTCCTTTGTTTAAGCTTTGTAATTGTTACATAAGTCGGTAAATAAATGGTTTCCCCCAAAACACATTCTGACCATTTCCACTCTGTGTTAGCAGATCAGGTTTATTTCATTTTACAATCAAATCCATTAAGAGTCAACACGTTCCATTTGGCAACTCCACGGGTTAGAACAGAGCTCTGTAAACTTGCATGTGAGAGCCGTCAGCACCACTGTAATATGGACATGTACAATATCCTGTGCATACTATAACGTTTTGCTACAACAGTCTGGTGTTCAGGCTGGAAACAACAACGATGACATCACTCGACGATCACAAACCCACACGTGGAAAAATAAATCATGGCAGTAAACACTTGATGGCTCCACAGTTGAGTCCTCGCACAGTGATCAGTTCGGTTTTACCTCCTGGAACAAACAGGAAGTTGAGTCAGCGCCTCACCCAGCTCGCAGGCACCCACTGCAGCTCTGTCTGCACCCTCTCCAGAACGTTCTGAAGCTCTGCTAAGGAACTCAGTGGGTCCTCTTTCACCAAGACGTAGTCCACCCAGTGGCCGAAGCACTCGTCCATCCTCTCTGCCGACTGCTTCATTTCCTGGAGATCCTCCTCCTAATGAGATCAGTGAGGGAGAGATTCACCTGTAAATAACCTGCTTTTGGAAAATGTACTAAAGCTCATCTTTTTGCACGGTTTAACCAGCATTAGTAAGCATTAAAAATATACAAGTCAACGTTTGGATGGTTCCTGTCCTGTGGCTCACCGTGATCCCTGCACTGAGCGAGGAAGACGAACCGAAGAGTTTTCTTTGACCGTCAAACATGCGAGGTCTCACAAAAATGACAAACGGTTTGAACTCGGCTGTTCGGAGCGTCTTTAGAGCCTGAAGGGTGCAGAAACATTTGTGACCATTAAAACATGCACGTATTGGGAATTGTTCATTTAAACAAATAATTATGAAGCCCCCAAAACAGAAAACAAACACAGATTTAATGTTAAAAATCCTGAACGCCTTAGTTTGGTTGAAAAATTCAAACTTTTCAGCAACATGTTGGAAGATTTAGTGACCACTGGTTTCATGTGGGTCTCAGGACAATGAAGAAGTCAGTATAATTCAGTAGTTAACTGTTAGATGGTTCAGGGGTTATTTGATCATTTTAGTTTGAGCTAAATGATCGTTTGAATCTGTCTAACCCGTCTAAATAAAGGTTGAATGAATTGTAACTGTGTAAATAATCCATTTATGTTCATTTCCTCCAGTCAGTCAATGAAAATCATGAAAAAATCAAAATGCAGTTTTGTGCTAAACTTCACATTTCTTAGAACTTTGTCAAAAATGCAACATTGAACCTTTTTTTTTTTTTTTTTGAACTTGTTTTGATACATTTTGTTACTTTCTGGAACAAAATGCATCATTGAGGAGAATTTGTGAACCTCCCGTTAAACAACAAAACATCAAAGCACGACATTTGCTCAGCAAGAGTGAAGCAAGAAAAAATTCTTTTCCAGGATGAAAATTAAAATGTTTATGAACCAATAAAGTAGATTTTCACTTGTAAAAAGTTTTAACCTGCTGACGTCAACTACAGCTGGACAGTGAATAAATGGTGTCCAAGTGTGTTGCTGTTCCCAACTTCACCTCTAGATGTCAGTGTTTTGTTGAGCTGCAGGAGACTCACTGACCTCAGGCTGAACATCCACCAAACAGACTTTGTTCTGATTCAAAACTCGGTGGATGGACTCTAAACTGGTGCCGTACAGATTCTCTTTATACTCCCCATATTCAATAAACCTGCAGAAAACACACAAGAATTATTACGAGAAACTACTGGTTAAAGATTAGATAGAAAAGTTTCACTCATTCGGACAATAAAATAATTACTTAATTGGAATTAAAAAAAAACAACCCGATACTCACTTGCCGCTCTGAATATCGGCCTCAAACGCTGCTCTGCTGATGAAGTGGTACTCCACTCCTTCTCTCTCGTGGCTCTTCCTGGCTCGGGTGGTATCTTTGGAGCACGTTCGAAGCAACCAGCAGGAACACGACGTTAAAAATAAAAAGACGGGCATGAATGTGCGGGTCTTCACACAATGTTCTGCTTTTCTAATTCAACACAACTCTTAAGAAACAAAGTCACGTTTTATTCAAAAACCTTTTTAAGATCATCAAGTTGAAAACATGACTAATAATCCCTCAAAGATGCCGGTCTTCAGACTAAATCACCTTCACGTAGAGAAATTACATTTTGGTCAAACCTTGAAAACACAGTTTCACACAATACTGCAACAACCTGTAAGAGCTCAGCGTATGTGTTGTGGATCACCCTCAGTTACTACCACCCCAGACTTCAGCACAGCGTCTGTAAAACTGATTTATAGACATTTTTATGTTTTATAAGATCAGCTGTCTGTGGTGCTCATCTTCAACCGAGTTGACTACAAAAGTTAATAGTTGTAGCGATACAGCTAATGGAAATTTTATTAGAATACACCCAGTGGTTCATCAGATATTTTGCTAACACATGGGCAAAAACATTACTCTCCTTTATGCAAAAAAAAAAAAAAACAACTTACGAGGCACAGCCAAACCGTATCGTCGAGGATTCTCCGCTATCACCTTCTGTTTCAACTCCGTGACCCGAGCTCCTAATGAACCTGCGAGACAAACAGGGTTACCAGAAAGACGAGTCCAAATCTACATGCACTATTCTGCGTGTGCGTACCTACCCATCAGTACTATAAGGCGGGGCCTCTCACCAGCTCGTGGCAAATAATGCGCAACTTCTTCATAAATCAGAAACTCTGAGTGGTTGGCATCGGGAGTTTGTGTTTCTGGACCCTGACGATCTTTCTTGAGGCGGAAACTCCTGCGCAGGCTGGCTGTACGGACAGGAGCACATGTTTCAAACAGCTCGCACACAACTCTACTATTCAGAAACAAACCTGTACTAATGTTGCATGAATACATTTACAGATCGCACTGCAACACTTAAAGAAACCAAGTTTAATTTACAGATTGTTTCACCGTGGTCATTAAAGCTCACATCCACGTGCCAAACATCACAGAACACACACAGTAAACACCATTAGGAACCAGTAGGAGTACCTGAGTAAAAATCCCATGAGAAAGCATGGCCACAGAAGGCAGGGGCTGCCTTACTCTTGGGAGAAACTACAGCTCACATTAGACCATTTTATTCCAGCACTTTTCATCAGTAACAGGAGAAAAGTTCAGAAGCCATGCACACGGGTCTGCACTTCAAAAGCAAGCAGAGCGCAGCTGCATGGAGAAGTTCACCACAAACAATAAGAAGCTATGAAAGGCCTCAGACAGAGAGGAGCTGCAGATGTTCCAACAAGCTCCTGCTGCGTTAATGTCTGATGAAGCAGCGATGGGCTAAAGGAAAGTGACCCGTCCAACAGTTCAGGTGCTGCTGACAAAAAATGGGCATGAATTTGATTGAAAAGTCAGAAGCACACGCACAACAAGCCATTTAGATTTATCTTCTGAGAACCATGACAGCACAAAACCACACGAGAAACTTATGTAAATTTAAAACGATTTCAGTCTGACGCCAATCTTAATGAGAAATGATTGAAAATATTAAAAGTCCTGTAATGTTGAGTCATAAAATCTAGTATTAAAGCAAACCTGATGCACAATCAACTTGTGTATTATTTTGAGTTGGGAAAACTGTTAACACTTATACTTTCTTACATTCTCACATAAATGTTTCATTTTAAAGTCTATTTATCTGACAAATATTTACCTGATTTACACAAGTAGGCCAAATTTCTAGTAGCTACAGCCAAAATGATTAGTTTATAAATCTTAAAAAGACAAAAGGTTGAATGGAAACTGCTGTACGTTGTTTTAATACATTTTCTCTCAATCGTTTCATGATCTGAAAATGTTAAATTCTGAGATTTGTATCACTCGGTTCACAAATCAAATATTTGCTGTGGAGGATGGTGGATAATTAATGATTCTTAACAACCCAACCAAGTGATCTGAAAAAGGAAAACTTATAATCCACTTAAGTTAAAGTCTTAAGGTTTATAAACAACAGAGCTGTTTGGCAACATTTTAAAATCTGAAGCTCCAAACTCGAGTGAAACCACATGATGAATTTAGAGAAGTGGTTCTGAAACTGTTCAGCCCACACTAGGCCTGTCGCGATAAACAATAAATCAATTAATCGCATGATAAATGAGAATTATCTACCTCATTGTTATTTATCGTTTCTTCGTGTCTCTCTTTCTACTGAAGACACTGTATGACAAAAAGCTCAACTCCGGTGCTCTTCACTGACCCCTCCCGTTCTCTTTAAAATCCATTTTAACAATTCAAAATGGCGTTTTTGGATCATTAAAAGCAGCTAAGCTACGAGCTAAGCTAGCAGGCCGACAAGGAAAAAAAAAAAACCTCCGTCTTGTCGAACTCCAAAATTCACAGTTGAAACTCGTGCCTTTGTGTAAAAAGTTTTTCTGCAAAAAGAAGCTGAGAACTTGTTTACTGATTTTTTTTATTTTTATTAAAAGCTTTATGTGAAAAATGTTATGCTAAAGAGCTAAAATCACACCGAACGTCCGCCATTTTGAGAACTGAAGAGAGACAGCCCATGTCACATCAAGAGGCCTCCCTCCCATTTTTCTTAAAGAGACACGCTGCTCGCTCCCTCACTATCCATCCTTCGTTCAAACAGTCTTGTACTATCATCTGGTGGCTAAAAATGGTACTACATGCAAAACAAATTGGAACATTTCTTCTTAAATTTGACAATAATTACTGATTATTGTCAAATTTCACTCAATCTTAGTTTATCACAATAATTTCTGAGACAATTAATCGCCCAGCAAAATTTGTTATGACAGGCCTAGTCCACAATAAAAGTTACACACTCATGACCCAACTTCCGTTACAGTTGAGGATAAATATGTTAATGGAAACTACAGAAAGGTTCTCAAGACCCCACACGTGGTGCTTCATGACCCACATGTGGGGTCTTGATTTTAACTTTGGGAAGCACCTATTAGATTAAATCAGAATAAATCAGGTGTTTTCTGTCCTCATTGTTAGAGGATCAGTGTTTTCCCTAGATGACTTTTCATAGTGGGGTGCTCATCTTTGTGATTGTTGTCGACGGGGCGGTGGGGGGGAGACAGATGGCCGGAGACATGTTCTGAGCTGCGCAGCACGCTGTTGATACCAACATTTTTTGAGTGGAGGTGGGGTTCAGCATGAGGGAAGAGGCTGCCTTTAGCTTTTTAGCTAACACCTGTATTTCGAGCCACTAGCTTAGCATCATGGCCGACAGGTGAGTGGGAGGGGGTGTGCTCGGTTCTGTAGACGGGGCGTCCGTTCGGTTCACAGGGAGGTGCCCCGCTTGTATAATGGTAGGGGAAACACTGAGGATACCATTATGTCATAAACTATATTGGAAACTCTGAAATAACTTCTGCATTTTTGCCACAAACAGAAAGCCAAGATCTTGACATTCTGCAAATTTCTTAAGAACCAAGCAGATTTCTGACTCATCCACAGTGAAAACAACAACAACGCAGCACAAAGCAGTTCTCTTTAACATCACAACATCGACCTGCAGCCTCCCAGCGAAGAGGATGAATTAGCACCCAGCCTGAGCAAACACGACGTGGCAGAGATCAGCAGTTTGTGCTTCCTCACCTTCGTCCTTTCCATTCTGAGCACCTTTACCGTCACAGTCTTCTGCGGGACAACAAGCAGGGAGAGAGGACAAGGTAAGAGAAGACAGGAGATGATGGCGGGAAGCTGATGCAGGAACAAGGGGTGAGGAGGGGTGGGATACAACGGCAATTATAAACTCAAAAATTAAAGGTTTACAAAAAATAAGTCACGACATGGAAATGCTGGTGAGTGGAATAATGCATTTTATTTTTTATTCTTGTGTGTTGCTCGTTTTACTTGGAGATAAAAATCACAAGTTTAGTCACCATTTGATGTCAGCCCTGAGATGAAAAACATAAAAATAGACCCAAAAAAAGTGTAACACACCACAAAAACAAACAAAATAACATTTTACATTTAAATGCCCTCATTTTTGATCACATCTTCAGTGTGTTTTTGCTTTACTTTCTGTTTAATGTGGCAAATGTACTGTCGTTTTGCACGACGGGGGATCGGTTCTGACACGAGACATGATTTCTAACACGAGGGTCCATCTACGTACCTTTATCAGTGAGATCATCTACAGTCAGCGAGTGAGAGTAACACAAAGCAACATTTTAACAAACACAAACCATTTCCTGCTGATTTACACGAGAAAGTCATTTACTTCAAATCACAACATTCTTTCTAAAACATCTAAACTCTTAAAACTAAAAAACACGTTTTATGTTCAAGTGTAGATGTGCACGATGTTTATTTTAAAATGGATTTATCAAACGCTGGCCATGACGCAGCAGCATTTCCGTTTCAGGGTTTAGCTTTATTCTAACAGAGCTTCTTTGTTTCAGATCACATTTAAACTGCAACAATCATTGTCTTTGCCCGTGGATTAATTAGTTTTGACCAGTCGTGTAATCTACAGGTGCATCTCAAAAGATTAGAATATTGTGAAAAAGTTTTTTTTTTTGGTCAGTCATGTCAGAAAGTGAAACTCATTACATAAATTCATTATTTGCCAGCTATAATCATTAAAATTATAAGAGATAAAGGCTTGAAATATTTCACTCCATGCGTTATGAATCTATATAATATACTAGTTTCACTTCCTGAAATAATTTACCAAAAAAAACCCACTAACTTTTTAACGATATTCTAATTTCTTGAGATGAACCTGTAAGCTTCTTGTATATTTGTGGTTGTGTGTTTAGTTAAATAAAAAAAAACGTACATGTAGGAGCGTTGGAGGGGACTGGAGAAGGACAGGAACCCATTTTTATTCTGTATCTCAGGCGTCTGGGAAGAAAAAACACAAACAACTTGATAAACAGAAGCCAGAAAAGTTCTGAAGTAACTGAAGGGTGTCGATGCAACTACAGCCCAAAACTCCAACAGAACTTTGTGTTAATCTAAGCAAAGAAAAATGTCTACGGTCTGACATTTAAATCATAAGTTTAAACAGAAACAAAATCCAAAGAAGTCAGTGGCTTATTATCATCATCATCATCATCATTATGGTAACCACACAACTGTGTCTCACTCCCTGACTGCCATGGTATGAGAAGCAGATTGAAATAAGCCTGAAACTGATATTAATTCTTAAACCGTGAGCGACTCAGACGGTCACACATGAATTTTTATTATTCTAAAATGGTTAACGATGTAGATTTCATGAATAAAAAAATAAAAAAAACATTTCTGGTTTTAAATAATATTTAGAGTTAAAACATAATTCAAGTCTATGGAAGCTTGGGTGTGCACTCTAATCTGGGATTTGAGAGGAAACCAAGTCCTGTAGCAGTGACACACTGGGTGAAAGCAGACAAGTACAGTAGTCCCTCACTTCTTCGCAGTTTGACTTTCGCAGAATCACTCCATCTTGGTTTGTAACAGTACATAATGAAAAATAATAAAAATGTACAGGATACATGATTGTCAACTTTAATATCACTCACGTGGTTGGGACAGGACTTTTTACTGTACAGTAAAAAGTTAAAGAAAAAATAAAATACTTTAGACAGGCACGGCCATTTTGTAGTTTTCTCTCAGTAAGCCACCACTGTATTTCCTGCTCATAACAACCACATTTCCCAGAAGGCAACAGGGCCCCAGCCCAGAAGCCCCGCTGAAAAACCAGAGGTAAAGTTTAGATCTGAACAGCGGATGCAGAGAAGCCCCACGGAAGTGGAGCAGAACTGGATCTCCAGACCCACCGGTGAATCAAGAGGGCTGGTAGCCGGCCCACAAGGACTTCAAGCGAGGACACAGCGCCGTAGGTTGAGGCTGTTTTCATAGCCCATCAGGAATTTTTCATCCAAACTTGGAATCTATCGAACACCTCCGGTCTGCGTCGGCCAACCGAAGGTCCCCACCTCAAAATGCACTTTGGCACTCGAGCTGCACTGAACGAGATCCTGATCTTCAAACTCAGCGGTGACCCGAGAGCTCCTAGCCAGCCCATGAGGACTCCCAAACAGGGGGCGCGACGCCGTAAGTAAAATTTAGTAGCTACATATAAGTATGTTGTTAAAGTTATTAAGTTTGAGAGTTAACAACATTAATTGTGGACTTTGTTGCTGCAGGGTACGTCTGTAGAAAAAGAACCAAGTCGGACCAGAACAGAGTCGGACCAGAACCGAGAGCCGCTGCTGTTCTGCAGAGCTGGTGAGTAAAATTTAGTAGCTACATATCCAGTACTGTACGTCTGTTGTTAAAATGATGGAGGTTTAAGAGTTTAGAAGATTACAAGAGTGTGGGAAAGTTTCAAAAGCCTTAATATTGTATGACTGTATTTTCCAGCATATAAGACAGTTTTATTTTATTTTATAGATTTGTCAGGCCTGCGACTTGTATGCCAAAGTGACTTATACAAAAAAAAAATTTCCATATGCATAACGCAATTTTTGACTGACGCTTTAAATTTCTAATAACTGCAACAGCGAGTTCTCCCGTGTGCACTCGCTTCACTCAGCTGGTGCAGGTGGAGGAACGCTGGAGTGCTAGTGGCTCCGGTCATGATGGATGGATGGATGGAGAGATGGATGGATGGAGGGATGGAGATGTGTTGCCCAGGCAAAATGAAGCCGTTTTGACCATTAAATAAATAATAAACACGACGAGTCAGGGATGACTCATAATAAATGTGACTTATACTCCGAAGCAACTTATATGCCGAAAAATGTAGTAAATACTAAAATAAATATAATGTTGCTACTTCGCGGAATTTCACTTACTGCGGGGGGGTTAAGACCCAAACACCCGCAATAAACGAAGGACTACTGCAACTACATTTTGATGCATAGGTTGTACATGCATCACAAAGAATTGAGTAAGAAGAGTTAAACATTTACGAGTGTCTCATACCATCCAAGTTAAAAAAATATTAATCCAAACATGTAAAGTCAAACTTTGTGATTTGTTTCCGCTTTAATGATGTTTCTACTGTCAAGTATATCTGAGCTACAGAGCTGCAGAGTTTTCTCAGGTGTTCCACTAAATACTAATGATCACCCCCCGGTTTATTTAACATATTTTGTGTTTGTTGCGTCACGAACTGCTACCTAAAGTCAGAGCACACCGTTCCTTATGGGAGTCATATTGGCACCCTTCATGACTGAAGAGACGTTACCTCTCCTGAAACTGTGTGGCGGGGATGAGGGCAGCTCGCAGGTTACAGTCGCCCACCCTCTTGGCCTGCCACCAGGTGGCGTCCTCCTGGCTTACCACCTGAAGAATGTCCCCCCGCTTAAAAGGAAGTCCAGCCTCTTGGCATGGTGTAGCTTTGTCCTCAAAAGGTGTGTAGTCAAACAGAGCTCGAAGGTAAACCTTAAGGGAGGAGAAATTTGATACAAACCTTTTACTGAACAGAAGATTTAGAAATAAAATACACAGATATTCATTCTTTCAGTGTTGCTTGTTATTTTTTAAAGAGCTGAAAGCTTCAGGATGGAGGGAACTATGCAAATAAGTTGAGAATAAAAAGAATAGTTGGCCTTATTTGACTGATCAGAAGTGTTTAATTCACAGTAAAATATATTCATATTCACAAAGTTTGTTTTCTCAGTCATCCAGGTATATAACAACAAAAAAGGTTGAATCATGTCATCTGGACTTCGTTTTTTTTGTTAAAAAGAAACGTTTCGCCCCTCATCCAAGAGGCTTCGTCAGTCTGAGGCCTAGCCATCTGGTA